GGAGCTCTGGAATCCAAAATAGGCAGCCACTTTTCAACTGTTCTAGCACTGTACAAGAGGGAGTGGTGAAAAGAGAAAAGCGATTAGGAAGAGCCGGAACCGGGAGCGGGATCATTGCCACTTCCGTCGGGATAGTCGGCAAGGCGTGCGTCAAACACGGCCATAACCGGGAGGCGATGGCGGCGGAGGTCTCGGAGTTCGGCAAGGAAAGCCGAGTAAATGGAGCGGCGGATCGAGGGCGGAAGAACAGAAGCGCTGAGGATCGTTTCGAATCGGCCTTGGATACCTAAGACAAAGGCTTCGACCGCGTCCGCAGGGATGGCGTCGAACACGTCGCCGGCCTCGTCGGGAATGGAGGGCAGGGTCGTTCGGGCTGGAAGGGTATCTAGGATTGGGAACTGGGGAGGAGGCGTAAGCAGAGGAAGGAACGTAATCAGCGGAAAGCACACTCACGGCGGAAATGGCGGGAGGCGGCGAAAGGGTTGGCTCGGGTAGGCGCGACTGGGGAGCTGTTGACTACTGGGCGGGGAGTGACGGCACGGGAGCAAACTGAGTCCGGGACCTCGGACGGTCCTCGCTCGGCAGGCCGGGGAGTGCGCAAGAAGTTGAGACGCGCGGGCTGAGACGAGTCAGGGGTAGTGTGCTCGGGGGCGGCGCCAACAGACGGTGGCGGAGTGGGACGGAGAACTTCCGGCGCGGGGTTGACGTGCATAGGGCTCGGGGACGGAGAGCGAGCAACCGGAGACTTGGCTACCGGGGTCGGCGGACCCGAAGATATCACGATCGGTTCGAGATCAATGGTGGGGTTGGCTGAGACCGGGGAGCGGACCGGCACCGGGGAGCGCGCGCGCTCAGGGGTGGGTTGCTGGGGTACTAGCTGGAGATTGGCGGCGGGAGCCGAAGGGGGGCGCGGAGTAGTGGGAGCACGGAGGGGAGAGTGTTGGGGAGAGTGTTGGGGAGAGTGTCAAGGAGAGCGTTGGGGAGAGCGTCGAAGAGGGGAGAAGCGGTTCGGACCTGGAGTTGGATGGCGCAAACGCTCGTCATAAAATGGACGGTTCACGTTGTGACGACCGGCCCAGAGACGGAGGGCGTCGAGGTAGTCTTGGCAAAGCGGGAAGTCGGATTCGCGGGGCTTCGGCGTCATTCGGTCTGAAGAAATTATGATCGGTGAGGGGGAAAAATCAACAAGGTCGATAGCAGACAAAAAGTCTGAAGGGCTATTTTTATACTTAATCAATCGGGCTTAAGTGTGATTGATAAAGTCTGGGAGGAGGCTTAAGTGTCCTCTTAGGATCAGTTAAAAAAAATAGTAAGGACTGATGAGTTTTATTTCTTGGTACTAGACTGTCTTAAATAATCTAGATACAAACATGCATGAGTTGTGGGAGCAGATTCAGATGCATAGTGAATAAGAAATAAAAAAAACAGATCTAGCAAATGAGTGACATGTGAAGTGAAAGGTGAGGAGAAGAGATCCAGGAGCAAAATTCCAACACAGAGCCAGCGGGAGAATCAGGGGAGGACTGCGGCGGTGGAGGAGGTGGTGATGGGGTACGAGGAGTGGGCAAAGGGGAGGCGACGGAGATGCTAGCCGAATCAGGGACGACAAAATCATCCAAAGAGTTCCCGTGGGTCAAAGTCCGAGGACGCTTGGGCGGTTGAGGACGACCGTGGGAATCAGGACTGTTGGCGCGGGTTCGGCGTCGAGAGCAATTGGACGGGCGCTGGACTAGAGAGCAGTGTTGTTTGGCTCAACAACAGAAGTCGCACGCGTGGTCTGAGGACAAGCGGATGCAGGGTTGGTGGCGGTCTAGGCAGTTGGTATAGGTGGACATGGTGGGAAGGAGGAGGAATGAGTGGGAAGAAAGTTGGGGGAAGAGGATCCTGGGGACAGGATTTTAAGCATTGGGGGGATGTGGTGGCGAGAGCGCGCCTCAACCAAAGCTTTGGCCGGTTTGTTTGGGTGCAGGCGGAATGCGCGCGGCTGAGGCGGAAAGCATGCGGAGCTGACGCTACACACGCATACTGAGGAAAGCGGAGGTGCATTAGCAGAAAGTCTAGCTTTCCGAGGCACGGGAAAGCGGGGGAAATCAGGCCGAATGCGCAAGGTTCCATCTGGGCACTGGCGGACGTCGGAGTCACGGCCAACTGCGGAATGTGGGTTCAGTGTATACTGCGGAGGGGCTACAAGGAGTGGGGGCACCGAGGGGCGGAAGCGGGGTTTGGAGCGGGCCAGAGGCGGAAGCGGCGGTGGGAGACCTGTCCATGGGCGGCCGGAGGAGTGACTGGACCGACCGGCGTCGGAGGGAGGTGACGAGCGGAGTCCGAGGGAGTGACAACGGAGGACATTGTGGGAGGCAGAAGGAAACTTGAGTGTGGGATAATTGGGAAGAGTGGATTTCGGAGCGGAAGAGAGGGGGAGGGATGAAGGAAGGGAGAACTCAGAACATATCAGAAAAACAGAGTGACTTAGGAGTGAATTGTGTATTAGCCTAAAGAATTGTTAGATATTAAGAGTTAGAGTATTACTTACCAAAAGCCAATAAAAGAAGGGCATTAATAAAAAAACCCACATTTTCCGCGTTTGGACGCGCTTTTGCTGCGCCGCAGCACACACGCATTCCGCGTTTAAACGCGCATTTATTAATCATGCATATTTTATGCATAATTTCGCCTCCAGGGGGCGCGCGCGTACCACAAGTGCCTGCATGAAGTTTGAAAATTTTCCTGCAGGCACCAAACAAGAAAACCACTCACCACAATCAAAAAAGGACATCACCCCCCCTCTAAACCTTCAACACACCACAACTCAGTCAAAACTCAACAAAAATCAACAAAAAAAATACCAAAATCACCCATTTTTTCTCCTCTTCGACCCCACGCACTCGGATTTTTTTGATTCACCTCCGGCTCATTTCCAACTGGCAGGTACACTCTAAACTTCAAAAAATCATAACTTGGCCATTCCTCAACCAAAATTCACAAAAAAATACCAAAAGCACCCATTTTTCATGCTCTTCACCGCCACACTCTTCAAATTTGCTGATCCACCTCTTGTTTTTTTTAAGTCATTGTTAGGCCTCAAACTTCAACTCTGAATAACTCAGCCAATCCTCAACCAATTTCTTCAAGAAAACCATCAATCAACTTCTGTCTTGATCCTCTTGACCGCCACTGTCTCCGTTTTTGCCGCTGGACCTCTCGTTTTTTTTAATCATTGCTGGGACTCTCAATTGACTCAAACTTCAACTCTGAATAACTCAGCCAATCCTCAACCAAATTCTTCAAGAAAACCATCAATCATCTTCTTTCTTGATCCTCTTGACCGCCACCGTCTCCGTTTTTTGCCGCTGGATCTCTCGTTTGTTTTAAATGATCGCTGGAACGCTAGTAGGACTCAAACCCCAACTCTGAATAACTCAGCCAATTCTTGACCAATTTCTTCAAGAAAACCATCAATCAACTTGTTTCTTGATCCTCTTGACCTCCACCATCTCCTTTTTTGCTGCTGGATCTTTCGTTGTTTTTAAATCATTGCTGGAACTCTAGTAGGTCTTAAACTTCAACTCTGAATAACTCAGCCGTTTCTCAACCATTTTATTCTTTCAAAGCACTAATAATCTTCTTTCATGATCCTCTTCACCCCTACCGTCTCCGTTTTTGCCGCTGGACCTCTTGTTTCGTTTAAATCACCGCTGGAACGCTAGTAGGACTCAAACCCCAACTCTGAATAACTCATCCGTTTCTTGACCGAATTCTTCAAGAAAACCTTCAAAAATATTCTTTCTTGACCTTCTTGACAGCCACCATCTCTGTTTTTGCCTACACACCTCTCCTTGTTGGTTATTCATTGCTCAATCGCTAGTAGGACTCAAACTACCTCTGCGATTATCTCAGCCAGATCTCAACCGATTTCTTCTTGAAATACATCAAAAAAACTATTTCTTGATTCTTTTTACGCCTACGGTCTTGGTTTTTCTTGTTGAACCCCTCGTCTTTTTCAATTCATCACTCAACTTCGCCAAACTCCTGCATAACATGTCTGAGAGTCAAAGCCACATCAACCCGCTCCTTCTTTCGGGTGCAACAGCTGAGGATACTTCTGACGGTAACCCCCTCCCCGGTACAACTCAAGACAAAGTCAGCCCACTTCCTGAAACTGTGTCTACAGCAGCTACGTCAACCACTCCGTCTGCCAGTCTTCATTCGCTAGCGCCGCCTCCCGCGTTATCGTATAGGACCCGGGAGGAACTAGATGATGTGGTTCAACAGTGGGCGTTGGAGCATGGCTATGCGCTCAAGAAGACGAACACTACAACTCAGAGGGGGGAGGATCGGGCGACTTTTAAATGCGACCGTTCTGGCGAACCGGATGAACCAAACCCAGACAAGTTGGGCAAGTCCAAAAAGATCGGCTGTCCCTTTTCAATGCTGGGCAACTTCTACAAGAGGGATGGAATCTACCGTATCACGATCAAGAATCCAAATCACAACCACCCCGCTTCGGAGGATCCATACATTCATCCGATTCACAGACGGTTGACAGAATCCCAAAAAGAAAAGGTCACCGAATTAACTCATGCCGGTGTCGCCCCCTTGAAGATCAAGTCAGCTTTAGTTCAAGATGCAGATACCCCCTTGCATGCCACCCTCAACACCATTTACAATCACCGAAACCAGATGCGCATTGACCAGCTTCAAGGACGCACACCAATTGAGGCCCTTGTCAATCAAATCCGGCAGCATCAGTTTTACTTCATGATTGACAATGTTGAAGGGCACATGACGTCGTTCTTTTTTGCTCACCCCCGTTCACTGGAATTGGTCAAACGCTTCCCAACCACGATCCTCCTCAATTGCACTTACAAGACAAACAAGTTCAACATGCCCCTGCTTCATATCGTTGGAATGAATTCATGCAATTGGTCATTCTTGGTCGCTTTTTGTTTCCTCTCAGCTGAAAAGGAACCAAATTATACGTGGGCCCTGGAGCATCTCCATCTTGCAATGGATAGAGAATCCCCCTCAGTCATCGTCACCGACCATGAACAAGCGGTCATTAATGCAATCAAGAAAGTCTACCCAAATGCCAACCGTATCCTCTGCTCTTGGCACATTTGGAAGAACATCGAGAAGAATTGCCGGAAGCATTTCAAGGGCGATGATAGCAATGATAAATGGTCTAAGTTTGAATCGGCATGGAAGAAATTGAGAATGTCGCCAACATTGAATGAGTACGAGGAGAATTACACCGAGCTCTCCAAAGTGTGGACTCCAGATACGGCGGCATACTTTATCTCGGTAGTCCTCCCGCTGAAGGAGCACTTTGTCTCTTACTTAATCGATCGGCACCCACACTTTGGAAATCACATCACATTGAGGGTTGAAAGTCTCCACGCGTACCTCAAAAGATTCATCAACTCCTTGACAGGGTCCTTTGCAGCTGTCGTTAAAGGGATTCACCAGTCCCTCAAAAACCAGCTGCATGAAAGATACATCGAATCAGCCCAACATCAATACAAAAGACTGACCGGCCTTCCTCCGTCGGTCGCCAATCTCAATGGAATCATCTCCCACTTTGCCTTGAAGATCATTCACTCATTTCACGTGGCCAAGGCACCAATGAGCACATGTACAGGTAACTACTTGTCTTCCATGGGGATTCCTTGCATCCACCAGGTCCACAACGCCACACGCGAGGAGACAAAGTTCACCGCAGACGATTTCCATGCTCAGTGGCACGTCAAGACTGATCTGGCCGTAAGTTCCTCATTTATCAAGGGAATCCCAATCAATTTTGCAGATGTATTCTGATTTATTTTGTTCACTCATCTGATCATTTAACAGAAGCGACTTAGTGACAACGAAGATGCCCCGGAGACACAGGGGAAGGGCCATGAACACGCGTTCCTCAGTGAGGCCTTTGAAAAATTCCAATCCCTTCAACCTGGCGAACAACACTTCATGCTAGGCGAGATTCACAAACTGCTTGACGGAACACATGCAACAATTCCGCTCGAGGAACCCAAGTTTGACAAGAACCATCGATTCAAGGGTCGACCCAAAGGCGCCAAACGGAAACACAAATCGACGTCTTCAACCAAGAGGGACCCATCTGGATTTGAGTAGGTTGAGGGGCAGAAGAAGAAACAAGGCAGGCCCAAGAAGGTGGCCAAATTGGACGAGGGGCCAAAGCGCAAACCAGGGCGACCAAGGAAGAAACCGGCCAAAAAGGATGAGACGGATGAGTCAGAGGTGTGCATTTTTTATATCCTTCTGAAGATTTTTCCTGCTTCTGATTCAATTTTGCGTAGGCCATGGAAACAGATGGGGAGAGTGAGGATGAAGCTTCAGATGAAATTGGAGCCCTATGTGAAAATATATTCACCGAAGAGGAGCATTCGGAAGAAGAACCAAATCCCCCAACTGTAAAGAAGCCCTTGCGAATTAGGCCAATCAGAGTGGTCAAGCAACAACCAGAACCCATCACCGAAGTGGACGAACCTGATGAAACCCCTTTGAGTGAGGCCTTGACTTGGAGTACATACGAGAATGTGGAGATTGACCTTGTGAGTAACTCATCTACTTACTTCTTTTTCACATTGTTCATCCCCTCTTTTTCCCTCTTAAACTTTGGTTAGTATAAGCACAAAGACAGCATCAAGCCGGCTGGAGCAATCGCACACATCTTACACGTTCACGATGTTAGAGGCGATGGGAACTGTGGCTTCCGAGCGGTTGCGGTCAGCTTGGGACGTGAGTCTGATGAATGGGACTCAATCCACAAGGAAATGCAGATGGAATTCGAGTCGAACGAGGCCTATTCGGATGAGAAGTTCTTGGAGAATGTATGGGGAGCAGGGGACGACCGAAAAGACGTCATCGAATCTCTTGCATGGAGAGACAAGTAGAGATGGTCGGTCCGCATCCGGATACCCGTCCGGATGCGGATATCCGATGGCAATTTCAGCGAAATTGCACATCCGCATCCGCACCCGCACCCGCTAGCGGGTATCCGTCGGCCGCAGCGGGTATCCGAGCGGGTATCCTCGGATACCCGCCCTCTAAAGGGCCGGCGACGGACCGGCTGGAAGGGCTTCCTTCCAGCCGGCCATCTCCCCTCCCGGCCGCGGGTATCCTTTGGGATACCCGGATACCCGCCGGCGATTTGCGGAAAAGGGGCCATCCGCACCCGAATCCGCACCCGCTGGCGGGTATCCGTTGGCACAGGCGGGTATCCGCCAGCGGATAACGGGTATCCGCGACAGATACCCTTCGACCATCTCTAGAGACAAGGAACAGCAAGCCCCCCTCAAGTACTGGATGACGTTCCCTGCGCACGGTTATTTAATTGCCGATACGTACCAAAGACCGGTTATTTTATTATCGGAAAAGATGCCCGCCACTTATCTTCCTCTTTTGCATAGCCAAACAAACAACCCTCCCATCTGTCTGATCCTCTTACCTGACTACTCTCATTTCATCTCGTTCACTTTCAAGGCTGAAATATGGCCATGCCCCAGGATTGATGCATTTTGGAGACACTATGTCAGGGATGAAGCGCTGGGTTGGGAGCAGTATATTCTAGCCCACACTGACCTCGGTAAAGAAGTCTTGTACCCCCCTCTCAGAAGATCTACATGCTTCAGAAAGGATCCTGTTGATGTTGATTAATTTTTGAATTACTGTCCTCCGTACCTTGCTCTGATTTCCTGCTTGTGTCCCTTTTAAAATCCAAACTACGCTTGTTTATTCCCACACTCTCTTGCAAATGTAAATTTGGCCTCATTAGAATATTATAGCATTCTGTGTCCTTTTTCCATTGAGAAATTCAAGTTCGGAAGGTTGAATAACCACTGGGAACTTTCCACAGTGCTTGCATCAATAAAATGAGTGGGAGCCAAAATTCAAAGGCAAAGAACTCATTTTTAAGCAAAATAAATTTTACCATTCAATTCTACACCTTTCAAAGTGTAGGAAACAAATTTACAAAGTCAAAAAAGAATTAAAAACAAGCTGGTAACAATTAATAGGAAAAATGAGTGGTAAAAAAAATTACAAGGCATACAATTCATTTTTATGCAATATAATTATTACCATTGAATTCTAAACCTTTCAAAGTGTAGGAATCAAATTTACAATGTCAAAAAATAATGAAAAACAAGCCAGTAACAGCTAATTGTACATATGAGTTAGCAGAAAAAAAAAATCAAAGTCGTTTTTATGGTAAATGGACTTGACCATTAAATTCTACACCCTTCAAAGTGTAGGAAAAAATTTTAAAAAATCAAAAAAACTCAAAAATAATGGTAGAAATAAATTAATTAATAAACGCGCGTTTAAACGCGGAATGCGCGTGTGCTGCGGCGCAGCAAAAGCGCGTCAAAACGCGGAAAATGCGGGTTTTTTTATTAATGCCCTAAAAGAATAGTTATATTTACCTACCAATTAGACCATCAAGCAAGTTACCCCGGACAACAAAACCGGAGTTGGACGCGTTGCGGAGCGGAGACGTGCAAGAAATCTCCTTGGGCGCGCCTTTCTTTCCACACCGGCATCCGGGAGCTGCTTCAGAATTCTTGCTGAAGGGGCGGCTCCTGGGTCTCGGTTGACAACATTCCAGAGTTCTTTGTTTTTAAGGAAGGTCCTCATGCGCTTGGTCCACATTGGGTAGTTGGCTTCACCAGTGAGCACGGGGAGCATAGAGAGCTCATCCTTGAGAGAGATTGCAAGTCCTGCCATTTTGTCCTTGCTCTTTAAGTTGATCCAAGAGTTTTTGCTGACGTGTCAAGTCGAGACTGTAAATCTGTGAGAATTGGAAACTTAAGAGTTATATTTGCAATGTCAGAATCCTAGTATGAACAGTTCACAAGGTAAACAAGGAAAAAGTGAGAGAATGAAGAGAAGAAACGTCTTAGTACCTTAAGAGCAAGGTACGTAGGTAAGAGGACAATGTATGAACAAGAAGCAGAATGTAAGGCAAGCTTAAGAGAAGAAAATTAAGTGTGATAGGCTTGAGAACAGAAGAAAGGGTTTGTATGGTAAAAGAGTAGGAGCACTGATTCTAAGAACAAGAGACAGTAGCAAGAGAGGTACAAGAAAGAGAAGACAGAAATGTGGAACGAGGTCGTCGCAGGTCTGTGTGGTGGTGATCTGGATATCGAAGATTGGTGGAAGGAAGTCTTTGCAAGGGGGATGATAATTCGATGTTAGTTCGCAGATGCTGTACACAAATGGTCAAGGGAGGTTAGCCTTTTTATCTTCGTGCAAACAAGGAATTCATCCGTTTGTCACTTACAGGCTAAAGGGTCCAAGCATCGCATGGGTCATGCGGTAACTGGTTCGTGACCGTGTTGGTCCACTAAAATCTCCTGGGCTTTGATACCTGTGGTATTGGTAGACAGGGTAAAGGAACAGTCAGCTCAAAGCTTTTCACAGAAGGGGTGTTCTGCCCTCGACTGGTTCAGTTCGCTGTTTACTCACAAGTAAGGACCTGGTTCAGGAACACGTTTGTGGCTGAAGCCTTGCAACGGGAGTCAGGGTTCAAAATCTGACACTCAGCCTACAGGGGCAGAGGCCACACCGTTGGGAGGAACCCCTCCCGGCGAGCATCTACGGGCCAGCTTGCTGGGAGTGGTTCCTCCCAACAAGAGGGTGTTTATCCCATCTCTTCAGGATGAATCACTCCCTGCGAGCTGGTTTTTAAACCAGCTTGTTGGAAGGACCCCCTCCCGGTGGTGTGGCCTCTTGGCACCAGGTATCCCTTGGGATACCCAGATACCCACCAGTATTTCAGGGGGAAGGGTTGATCCGCACCCGCTGGCGGGTATCTGCCAGCAGATAGCGGATTTCCGCAGCAGATTATCCACAACCATCTCTATTGTAGAATATAGTTGAGCTAAAATCCCTCAATATTTTGTGGGGATAGGCCAGCTAAAAAGATAGTGCCTTGTGGTGTTGTAAGAGAATCTGTGTGAACCCCATGTCTTTTTTGAGGGCCCTATGTGATGAATATAGGGGCCCAAAAATAGGGCCTGTGGTGGAGGACTCTTCTTTTTTTCGTTTGAGCAGGAAAGGGCCGAAATTCATTCTATCCTATTTGAGCATATCAGGGATACGCTTTTCAGATTTCAACACAGTTTAGTACAAATGTAATGATGCAGTTTTGTTTTATACAGAATCAGCCAAAGTAATTTCCTTCTCCTATACTGATGTGTGACCAAAGTTTGGATGCATGAATTTTCTCCTGGATGAGGTTTTTGTTTTTTTTTCCCTTTTGTTGTCTGAATTCTTCCTCTATTGAAATGTTTGGACTATTTATTTTTTGTTTTCGACTTGAGTAGGTGGGTGTGAATTGAAGTGACAATCAGTCGGTCGGGGGTAAGGAGTGTATCTGTTGATTAACAGGTAGGTATAAGCATCAAACCCAATCCGAAAAAAAAGACGCAGTTGGAAAAGAAGGATAAGATAATCAATAAGTCAGGCTCATAACAATGAAAAGATAGAAAGAAAACGACCCGGGGTTCTAGCGAAGAACTGAAAGAAAAGACCGACCAGATGAGACAATCCGACCCATTCGTTGATTGCACGAGCATAGACATCCTCAGTGAGATCGAGGGGGTGGTCGGGGTTCCAAATAGTGATCTGCTCGAAATGACCGATCGATGTCAACACTTTCGACTGAGTATTCTGGGCGCTTGTTGTCGCTGGATCGGAGCTAAGATGGATGATCGGATTGGGTTTCGATTCTGGCGGCGATGAGACGGCTTTCTCCAGTGCGACCAAGGGTGGTGATGATGGTGGTGGTTCGGTTTTAGGGACCAATGTCTCGCGATCCGTTCTCGGTTCTTTGACGTCTTGTTGATCAAGATCTGACGACCGGGAAGGCTCTGGATGAGAATCTGAGGAGATTTCGATGATGGCTTGGTTTTGCTTGTTCTTCATATGATCATCATCGTCCTCGTCCTCGTCGTCATCCTCGTCACTATCAAGAAATGCGCCGACTTTGCCCTGTTTACGTTTCCGTTGGATTCGAGTGACTGGTGGCTGAGTGACGACGGCTTGGCCCAGCCTCCTCCCTCGAGCGCGTCCTCGACCGCGACCGCGCCCACGGATCGTCCCCGTCGTCGTGTTATTACGCGTGGAATGAGTAGGGGCGAGGGACGGTTTGCTGATGCTTGTTTGATCAGGTGATCGAGCGGCCGGGTGGGCATCTGAGGACGAGAGTACTAAGCCGGAATAGCCATCTGGGATCTTGAGTCGAGTCCCATGAAGACATCTCCCCCTGAAAGATCCCTCGTAGCATTCTAGCTGCTCCCCGGCTTCTTCCGGTTTGTTGTCAGTAGTGCTGCTAGAAGACGGTGCGTTGGTCGAGACTGGCCTGGTGAGGAAGTACTTCGATATCTCTGCCGGTCCGTGGTAATCGATCGAGAAGGGCATCAGATCTAGTTTATCTCCTCCTGTTATGGCCTGTCCACCCTCTTCTGGTTCGTGCTTGAGTTCATGGGTGTGTCTTATCAGGATTGATGGCCTCGGTTGAGTCTGCATGGTGCTTGAGTGGTCGACTACGTAGCGGTCGGAGTTCTGTGAAGTTTGGACGGATATATCATTCAGTTCAAGAAAACTATTTGAAAACATAATTCAACAAGGAATACATGCCCTACAAGAATCAGGACAAGTAAAGGAAAGCACCAAACCGTACTTCAAAAAGAAAAACTGGATGTTGGATCTATCCAAGAGAGAACCAGCTCAACCATCTCCCTCTATCTGTGTCCCATGAAGGGTGGGGAGGCCATCCAGCAGGGAACCTTCTCCCAGTCAAGCTAACAAAACGCAAAAACAAGCTACGAAGACCGAGAAATTATGTCGTTCGAGCGTCTCATCAGTACGAATGTTGAATCTGACTAAACTGAAATACTTGAACTTGATCTTTGTGGGATTGAATCACACTGATACTGCTTCTATTCAAGCAGTAGATAAACAACCACGTACATAAATAGGTCTGCACCCCCAAGGGGAAAAAAACCTCAACCCACACACCATGGACTTTTGCTTGAGTAAACATAGATATAGGATTCAACCCAAGAAAATTCACCATTCGAACTTTCTGCACTAACATGCGTATGGGTGTAAGGCTTAGATGATCATCAAAAGAAGACAAATGGGAATGGACCTATGAGCTTTGAAGCATGATTTTGGTCTTAATGCCCACAGCCTCTTCTCCCTCGAGGAAAAATTAATAAAGAAAAAAAAAAAAAACATAAAATTTGTTCGTGAAGAAAACGCATGAAAAACAAAGTGCATAAGAAGGAGGAGGAGGGAGGAGGATAGGGTGGAAGTTCAAGTGGATGGATGAAGATGGTTATGATGAGAGTCGAGAGAATGGTGTTGATGGTGTTGATTTTTGAGGAGGGACTGAAGTTCGAATTCGACCTGATCGCAGACCTCTTGGATTGCCGAGCGTTCCCAATTGCCGGCGAGGAAGCCGGAGTAAAGCATGGTGATCCCGAAGCCGCCGACGGCGAAGCTGAGCAGGGTGAAGATCCAGTTAAGATATTTGAGCGGTTGGAAGCTGGCGGCAACGGAGACGCCGGGGACGAGGAGAACACAGAGTAGGAAGAGCGCCAGTTGGACTTGTGTCGAGCGTTCTGAGGAGCGGTATTTGACCATCAGGGCTGAGATGCAATTGTTTAATTGCTCCGTCGTTAGCTTGGGCGGCCCAAGAGTCTTGACATTACTCGACTGTTCGTCTGGCCGACCCGAGTGGTCATATTCCAGTTTCGTCGATTGACTCGGATAGATCGTGAAGGAGGCTTCGACTGCAAAGTGATCCGAGTAAGAGTAGCCAAAGACAGGGATGGGATCGGTGAGGATGACGGCACAATGGTCGCAGGTGATATTCTGGTCATCGATGAACTCGGTCTGACAGCGTCCCAGACGGTCTCTCCTGGTCAGTCGCTTGGCCGCCGGTCGGTATAAGATGTAGTCGAGCCGCTTGCCGTATCCTTTTGCCCCTCGATTGGCTGCATTCTTCGAGGCTGTGAACGTGTTGATGAGCGAGTCGCAGGTGATACCCTCCTCCTGAATCGCAGTCCTGTAGGTCATCTCGTTCGTCGATATCGTCGATAATCCGTTGGGGTGAGAGGCTATCCATGAATCACGAAGTTGGCCGTATGATTGAAGGAGGGTGATCGGAAGCGATGAGGGTACTGAATTCAAGTCTCCGCACTGTCAAAAATTTTCCAATCAGATCAGGGTACATATCGAACAACAAGACCCAATGATTTCAACCCACAACAAATACAGTCCGGCCTCGTTCAGCAGAAGCTCTGACAAGCTTTGCAAGCTCCCATGCCTGAGCAGTCCGATGGGCCCGTTTCCATTCTGGGGCGGGGACATCATGCGGTGCATAGAGCTTGTTGTCACAAACAAAAGGGGGGGAAAGAGCAAATCAGATGGGCATGGGAGAAAAGGAGAGGAGATAGAGGGAAGACTGACGTGAGTTGTGAAGACTTCAACTTCGCCCACGGTAGGGACGTCTAGGAGACAGCTTCCGACAGACTTGCCAACGAAGAAGTCGCCCTGAATGAAGTGCAGTGGATGTCCATTGAGTAAGTAGGGATGAAAGTGACTCGAAATAATCGGGAATCGAGACAAGATAGCTAGACCGGAACCGAGTGCAGCACTATTGAGAAGAAAAAAAAAAAAAAAAAAAAAAAAACCAGTGTTAAGCAATCTGCAGAAGAAGATGGATATCAGGAAATACGAACCTATGAAACCATTTACTATATTTGAAACCGCCTTCCTTAGCTCGGTCCCTGATCACCAGGAAGTCGTGGTAAACCCAGAGTTCTTGTAGAGCGACGATGTCGAATGATTTAGAGCTTGAGCCGAAGGAGGTGGTCTCGTTTGTGGGTTGAGGGCTTGCGGAAGAGTGCTTGTTCGGGATCTCAGAGCCGGCTGGGATCTTGGTTGAGGAATGGGCGAGGTCGGAGAATGGCTCGAGTGAGTTGGTCGAACATGAGCGCGAATGCAGGCTCGATGAACACGCCAAGAAATCGGCTATCGCATGGATCCTCTCCTGTCTATGAGCCGATACAAATTTCAAACCCCTACGATCGTCGTCCATATTTGAAACCAGAAAAAATAAATACAGTCAGACTTTGAAATTGACTGTTCTCATCTTTCTTGTACGACAGAGCTGTGGAAGTTCTCATTCTACGGTCGACTTACCAACAGTTCAAAGTCAAGAATTTGACATGGACGGGCTGGCTACTTTCTCCCAAGTTGGACATCTGGTTTCAAGGTGTTAGTTGTGCTTGATACTCCGTTCTCCTGATTGCTGCTTGCTGGTTGTCGATTCAGAGCATTGTTGATGTTGCTTGAGGTTGCGAGGGTAAGTTGCGATGTTATGGTTCTTGGATGGTTTTCGTGGTTGGGGTGAGCAGTGCCCTGACTCTGAGCTCGGCGAAAGAGACCACCACCCACCACAACACTCTGCCGTCTTCTCTCATCAGCAAGACCTCAACAATGCCTCAATGATCCAGATCAATCAAAAGATGGATCCAGTACATCGTCAGGCATGTCCATGGCAAAAAAAAACACAGCACATACCCAAATGTAAGGTGATCACAATAGAGGATCTTACAACTAATAGTAAAGATAATCACCCTTGCCTGCCTGTTATCTTCAACTCTGCAGAAAAAAGAAAACAATCTTGAAAAACAGGCCGACAAAGGTGAAATGGATGCACGCCGCACTGTGCAGATTTTTTTTCCTCCTTGAAACTGCTGGCACGATTCAATCAAACTCAGCTACATACCAGAACTCCAGCCAAACAGTAAACTGGCTTCTTTCAAATTCCATCCAAACTTCAAACTTGACTTATGTAAATCCCATTGCATGAAAACTGGAAAGAAAAGAAAGGGAAAGCATTGGTAAGACTCCAAAGTGGCTCTTCGTCCGCGGTTACTTCATAAATCTCCTCAGAATTGTGTCCAGAATGGCCACGTATTCCACCTAATTTTCAATTTGAACTGCCTATCAATTGTTATTTATCATAATTTATGCATGAACAATTATAAGGAATCAAGTAGGCAACTTGAAAATGGTTAGTATATGTAAACTGGGCTACTACTACCCCCAAAAGTGAAATTGCATCTTGAGTTATGTATTTATGTAAATGAGTGAATGAGAAAGATTAGACAACATTATCAACAATCAAGATGGATTGAATTTCGGTTGCATGGGAATACTAGTTATGAAAAGACTTGGGATTGTACTTAAATTCTGAAAACAAAAATCCAACAACTCATCAATAGAAGTCTTCTACAAAATGTCATATTTGCGATTCTCTAGTAACAAAAAAAAAAAAACTGTGCATGAAAAAATTAGATGGATTCAAAATTGTATCCCAAGTCAGACATAAATAGCCATCAAAAAAAAGAGTGGATGGATAGTTGGTTGTGTAAGTTGATTCAAATTGGATTAGATATTAGTTGGGTATTAGTATGTTGAGAGAAGGGGTTTATCCTGCCTGAAGGATGCTCATTAAGCACGTCTGAAAAGAAATATGCAAAACAATGTGATACTGATGAATGGGGATAGGATTTGAACAAGAAGAAAAAAAGGAGTGATCTGAAGGTTCAAGATATTCCGTTTTTATTTTCCCTTTGTTTTTTTTTTTCAAGCTGCTACATTAACATGTCAAAAATTGAAGATTTGAAACTCAAGGATTATTTGGGGGAAGTTCTTAGTTTGAATTTTTTTGTTGGATCTACAGCTGGGAGTTAGGAGAAGAAGAGGGGAAGGGGTTTCTAAGGAACCGATAGAGCTTAGTGAGCAGTCGCTTAGATTGACTAAATATGCGATGGATGTTTCGGGCCAAGGAGCGAATCCGAGGAGGGATTCGAGCGAACTGTTGCTGGGTCTTTCTATCGAACAACTGCGAGAATCGGAATGTTCCAAAGTATTTGCTCCTTGGCCGGACCCGTGGATGAGGATTTGGCCGTCTGATGGGCAAGAGCTTCGATGAAGTTTTGGGTCTCTTTCGCCATCTCATCTCTTCAATTTCATTGGGAACATACCCTCGCATCAAGCGACTCGACCCTCCTACAGCTTCCATCGGTGGCGTAAACGATTTAGAGCTTGTAGGAGCACCAGACGGCGTCTTCTCTAGGACTCCCCACACCTTTTTCGACCATTGTTTATCGTTATCTATTGTATGGATGGCTTCAGGATAACTTGGCAAGGGTGTGTTCTGAACCGTCAAAGAATGTGAGGAGTGTGACCTTTCAAAGGGTGAATGCAGATCCGCTTGTGAAGGAGGCTCGGCGTGTATGCGAGACTTTCGTCCACTGAGCTTATCCAGCAGGTTTGTGAAAAAGTACCATCGTTTTTTGAGCTGCCCTGAAGCCCGAGACATCATATTAAAAAGACTGAAGCGATGATTCAATTGGGGGCTCTTTTTTGTATCTGAATCTAGATGTTTCGTAGATGGTGAGACTTTTTCATGTTGTGTGATATGGCCTGACTCTAGCTCGTTGATAGTATCTGATACTTTTTCGGGTTGTTTTGGTGCAACTGGCTCTGGCTGATGAGTGGAAGTGATGGCGTTGTCCAGTTGTTTTGGGGGAACTGTTGCGGAATGCACGCGCTGATCTTCAGCCATCTGCGCAGGCTCTTCGACGGAAATTTTCTGAGGCGAAACTGGGTTCGATTTTAGGATTGGATCATCGATGGACAAAATCTTCTTGTACTCATTTTCTGTTGTTTGAATGTGTGGTAGCTTATGTTCCAACCACTCAAGGATATGAAGTGCGCTAGGAACGGGGGGTATTTTGCTTTTTGAGGGATCGTCTTCAAACTCAAAGCTGTCGGGCGAGGTTGGAGTCCGGGGACTCATTGGCTTCGGCCCAGGGAGGTGATATTCAAAGTCGGAATCGGAGTCCAGACTCATGCTCCTGCTAGGAATGCCCACTTTAAGCTTCTCGGGCGAATGAGAATGCTCATTTGAGATCTCCGCTGTTGCCACGGGTAGATGCAATGAGGGATCAGATGGTCTAGTGGGATAGTCAGGTGAATTGGGGCTGGATGGGTTGTGATTGGTGATCTCATCTTTGGATTCGAAGCTGCCCGGGGACGTTGGGGTTTGCGGAGTCGTTGGATTGGTCACAGGAATGTGATATTCAGAGTCAGAATCGTAGCCACTCCAGCTTGGGATTTCCAATTTGAGCTGCCCGGGCGAGTGAGGAGGTTGATTTGGAGCCTCCGCTGTTGCCATGGGCGGAGCTGGTGAATAGTCATGTTGTTTTGTAAGAGGCTCAGCTGGATTGGGCCCGAAAGGGTTCTGCTTTCTGATATCGTTTTCGGATTCAGAGTGACCTGGAGAAGTTGGAGATCGCGGACTATTTACAATGGACCCATGGAAATCTTCAGTGTCAGAATCGCTGTCAAGCATAAACCCCCAGTCAGGGAGCTCCATGAGCTCGGGCGGATGAGAATGCTGCTTGGAGACCTCGGCTGTTGTGATGGGCGGAGCCGGTGGATGATCATGTTGTTTTGCCAGGGCCTCAGCTACGTTGAGTCCGAAAGAGTGGTGCTTTGTCCCATCATTTTGGGATTCAAAGGGGCCTGGAGACGTGGGTGACCGGGGACTACTTGGAGTTGACGAAGGGAGGTATTCATCGTCAGAATCGCTGTCCAAGACCAACCCCCAGTCCGGGAGCTCTGGGTGCTCAGGCGGCTGCGAATCATGATTTGGGAGTTCCGTCGTTGCCGCCGGCCGAGGCGGTGATCGGTCAGGGATCTCAACCCTAAGCTTCTCGGGCGTGTTAAGATTGTTTGAGAGCTCCGTTCCGACCGAAGCCGGATGTGGTGAATGATCACCTTGTCCCGTGAGAGGCTCAGGTGAATTGGGTTTGGAAGGGTCTGAGGAGGCAGTTTCGGGGTTGAGGCTGCCATCTCGACCACTTTCTACGGAGTGGCTCTCGTCGGAGTGGAAGGGATCAGATGCTACTTGGAAGGAAGAGAAACAAAAACCTGATTTAGATGAAGGGCAGTCAAGTGCGAGAAGAGAATTACAGATCACACAAAACAAGTTCCACAATCCCAACACATGGAATGCTCAGGTACTTGGTGCAGAGTACGTGATGGCGGAAGGGATTTGAGCGTTGGAAGAAGCTGGGTATTATTAGTTCCATACCACTATCCAGCTTGCCCTTTGGCTCAAATCCCTTCCGCCACCCCATGGTTTACACACCTCCTCTGATTATCTTGGCGTTGCATTTTGTTGGGTTCTGGAACTCTTGTATGGTCATATGAAACTGTGCTCACCTGGCGCCACAGCCACCGAGCTTGGTTCAGCTAAAGTCCGGGGTCCATGATCTGCTATGATGCAAGCGGTAAATATTTTGTTGTGCCACGTAAACTTGAAGCAAACGCATAACGTGCGTATTTCACTTACGAGCTTCAGCTTCCGCAGACATGAGAGGGCTTGTTTTGCGAATGACATCCGGAAGATCGACGTCCGCTGTGATTTTGGGAGTCAGTTTGAGGTGCTCTGTCGGAACTGTGTGAGGACTTTCTGCAGTATCTATAGGACGGCATAGATTCGAAGATGTTAGGAAACAACTCAGGGGTTGGTAGTAAAGCACTGAGATTAAGCGATCTGCTGGTTGATTACTTACGAGGGCTTTCCGCTTGGTGTGCCGGCAATGTATCATGCTTTGCTTCTGGATCTGATTGTCCGCCACTTGTAAAAATTTGGCTGCCTGGAGCTGCCAGTGGTTTCTCGGCTGGCAAAAAATCGCATAGATCATGAGAAGACATTCTCGTCAAAAGCTGCCCAGTGACCAATTCAAACGTACCAGGTTTAGCAGGTGGAACAGAGGAAGAGAGTTGCCTCGATACTTCGGACTGGTGAAGCCCATCCTTTGTTTCTGGATCTTGTGGGTTGAGGACCGCAGGAGGCTGCTCGGAAGGGCGGGGATTACCACTGCTTGGAGTCGCCATTGCTGTCTTGCCTAGAACTCAAAAAATCGCATTAAGCTTGAATAGAGAGCACTTCACGCATCCTTCTATCATAAAATGTCTAGGCAGTAATTTTCGACCGACCATCTTCAACTCGTAGAGAGTGGTCCCGGCCAGATGAGGCGTTGGGTGTGTGCATCAAGTCTACCTCCTTGTGACTTTGGATGCTTGACCCTGTGGGCAGACTTTTACCTTGAGCTGAGGGATCAGGAAGCGAAGGATCAGTAAGTCTGCAGCAGGGGTTGCTGCAAATTGGGCGCAGAAATCAAAGGAAACGCACTACTTTGTTCCAAACTCAACCCCGATGAATATTGATTCTCCTCGTGGGATGGCAACGTAGGCTTCATCGCGGCCCTCGTTTTATCATCTGAATGCATCAAGTCAGATTACTGCACAAGGCCTGAATGCTGGTTGATTGAAGTCCGCTAGGCCCAACATACCTGCGTTTTTCAGTGACAGATGCAGTAGGGGTCTCTGCTTCGGCTTTGGCTCAATTTCAGCAAGGAGACCTATGTCACATTTCCCCAATTCATGTATTGTGTCCAAGCAGAAAATGAAATTTGGGTCAATATCTGGTGAAGTGTTATAATAAGCATTGTTAGGAATTCCGCCTACCAACTTCGGGCATTGAAGAGCTTTTATGCATCAAAGCAGCACCTTTGGCGGGCACTTCATTCAACGCCGTAAGATCTTGATAGGCAGGGTTCGCTGCATGATAGTATGACAAGAAGTTTTTGGATCAGCCGGGGGGTCTCAAACAGCCTCAGGATCACAGTGCACCTTTATCCGTTTCGCTATTCGCTGGACCGCGAACGGGGGAATCTGTCCGGGAAGCTTCATGTCCTTTACCTAAATTCGGATCAAACCCAAGTCTACATTCTGCTGGAGCTCTAGATACTATCAGGGAACGGGTCAACGTTGAATTCGACCTACCATCTTCATCTACTTCTTCCATCGAGGGAAGTCCCGGTTTGAACGAGCCGCGTCGGCGCGAAGCACGATCAATTATCGTACCAGCACTCCTGCTTCGCCCGCGACTTTTCCGATGCTTTTTAGGAGAGGGGGATTCGGGCGGAGTGCCCAGGTCGAGTGGCTGTAAGTGACTGCCAGCCCAGCCAAGTTCTGACGGGTCTGGGTTTTTATTTGTTTTCAGATAGTCAATTATAGACATGAGCGAAAAGTATTTTTCAGTCGGTTATTTAATGTCCTTCACTCATTGTGCGAGGGGGGGAGGTCATGATACTTGAACGTAATACGCACCTGGGGATGAGTTTTTCTGCCCATTCAGTGGTAGGCTCTGGGACCTCGATGGATTGGTCTTTGATATCAGTGGATCAGTCGGTAGGCCGAGGGTGTTATGAGCGATATCCGAGTCACCTAAAGATGTTATTGGTTATTAATGCTCGTCTGTTATGAGATTTCAGATATACTGTGGGCACTTGCCTAATCCAACTTGATGGGAGTTCGCTAGCTGTTTGGCTGCTTCGACGCTATCCGTAATCGGACCCTCTAATTTGGAGGCCTGGGAAGTGCTACAGCAAGAGAGAATTACGAGAATCGCTCCGATCGTCTTGGTGTGGAGGATCGTCATGACAGACTCATCCACACAAGGACTGATGTTGAGCTTTTAGATGTTTGGAAATTCGGCTGATAGCGATGGGAGGAAGGTGTACATGAGAATAATCATGAAGCCAGCGGGCAGGCAGGAAAGGTGGGACCCCCTGGGGAGAGGCACGTAAGACTGTGTAGCCAACAGTTTGATGCTTCCTGTTTCTGATGCTGAAACGTTACAATCAAGTGTTTCGCTTGGTTCGATTTTTGATTGTTTGCGAAACACTAATAATGCAAAGATTGTCCATACAGCTCTGTGCAACCTTCCCCGAGCTTCCCCCTCAGTCACAAGTACGCATAACCCTATGAGTGCGGACACACGGTCCTCCCCTCGCAATCCCGTAATGTTTACATTTACCGGGCAACCACCCTCTCGGCCCGATAATGTGTGACGATGCCGGAGCCGGGGGAAGGCTCTGCCACCTGTAGCGTCTTTACCGACACAGTCGCGTCCGGGAGAGCAGCGGTGAGGGAGGGGAACCCCGGCTGGGACCAATGGAGGAAATTTCTGGATCGGAGCCCATTTCCAGCCCTCTCGAACGCAAGGGGCCACCATCGCGTCCGGAAGAGACTCTCCTTCGGAAGCTCGCTTCGCGCCAGCCAGGTGTTATAATAAGATTGCCTTGTTCAAAAGTAGAAAAAAAGCATTATTGCAAGAATATATGCGGAAACTGGCCTCTCCTCCAATTCTACGAATGAGCCCGAAACGAAACACTGATAAGGTCTGATTGGCTTACCGTGGGTCCATTGACTGCATTAGGGAAATGGAAAGAGAAGAGGGGCGGGGCTTAGCAGGGTCTGCAGATCTTGACATAACCTAGGGTCCTGGCCAGACTTCAACGGCGTTGCTGATGTGGTAACTTTTGGATTTGGAAATAGAAGGCCATCAGACGCGTAGATTTTCGTAAGGGTTAATGAGTTGAAGGATAAATCCGATGAATCGACTCTGGGTAAGGCGAAGCTGGTCGGAGCTACAAATACAGTGGCAAGCCTTTCTGAGACGCTGAGGACCCCAATCCATCTATCACTATCTTTGGCGCTAGAGACTGAGAGTTACTCTCCCTCAATCTACCTTATATTTACCCGTTTATCAGCTTCCGGTCATGATCATCGCTTACCTCGGGAGACATCAACTGATGGGTAGGGTCTTGCGCCCCGTTAGCCGGAGCCCAATCCGACCGGCAACGAGCCTCCAGAAATCGCCGAAAAGATCTGTCAACTTTGGCCTGTCCGCTTACCAATGTGGCTCCAAACACACCTCCTCACGTGATGCCCCAGACCACAAAGAGCCCGGACCAACAGATCGTCGCAAGATGGGAACTGGGTATCAAATCTATCATCACTCGACTCCTTTCAAACTCGATTATGGGCAGAGCTTGCCTAGTTTCGATTTGGCTTATGAAGTCTGGGGCAAGTTATCGGAGAGGAAAGACAATGTGCTACTTCTCCACACTGGTTTGCCCGCTAGTAGCCATGCCAAGAGCCATGAAGAAGATCCAAGTCCAGGATGGTGGGAGAAATTCATAGGCTACGGCTCCAACTATCCGATAGACCTCGATCGCTATTTCGTTGTCTGTTGCAATCCTTTGGGCTCCAGTTTTGGGTCTACTGCTCCCAAGTCAATCAATCCACTGACCGGCCAGCGCTATGGAACCGACTTCCCCGTCGTCTCGATCTTCGACATGGTCAGAGCACAATTCAAATTGTTGGACTATTTGGGACTTGACCAAGTGTATGCCAGCATTGGCAGTAGTATGGGTGGCATGCAGAGCATTGCGGCTGCTTGGTTGGAGCCAGAAAGGATCAATAGAGTGGTCAGCATCAGTGGATGTGGAAGAATAGGACCTGCGGGTATCGCGATACGGTACGCTCAACGTTCAGGTTAGTGTGTTCATCAAAACCCCATCCATCTTAAAACTATGCTAATTGAATTCCAAAAAGAGCTGGAAAAACACTAAAGCTATTTTGCGCTTTTTTCAAATGAAACCTGTTCACCCCGGGCGATGTTTGCTTTATAATTCACGCTGGACATGAATCTATTTATCAGTCTTGATGGCTGATCCAAACTGGAACAATGGCTTTTACTACGATTCGTCTCCACCGCACCTTGGTATGAAATTGGCTCGTCAGGTTGCAGCAGTGACGTATGGATCAAGACAGGAATGGGAGCGGCGGTTTGGCAGACGGAAGCGCCCGGTGACCGATCAAGAGGCGCACTCCGTTTTGAGTCCACCGACCCTCTCAGCCGAATTCTTGATGGAGACTTGGTTAGATTATTCAGCTGAGCAGTTTTGTCTTAAATATGATGCAAACAGTTGGTTATACGTCTCGTAAGTGGTTAATTTTATCTTGGTTTATAATCGAGCAAACCGGAATACTTGAAACTGAATGATGCTGGGAAAAAAAAAAAGAAAGGCAATGGAGCTTTTCGACATGACTGTAGAAGGTTTAAATCAACTGAAAAAATATCGAGCTGGAAGTCCCTCACTTAGTGAACTATCAGTGTCCGATCAAGAAAATGGGGTAGCCAATGTATCGCCATCATTTTGCCATCATAATATCGTCGCTTCACTTTCGCAGACATTCCAGAAATTCAGATCTACCCAAGAGTTTTTGATCGTCGGTGTACAAACCGATGTTTTATTCCCGGTTGGTCAGCAGAGGGATTTGGCTGAAGCTATTCGATCTTGTGCATCAAGTTCTCCTCAACAGAAGGCTCCTTCAGTAACTTATGTTGAACTCGATTCTCCATTTGGCCATGACGCATTCTTGATAGATTTGAAGGCCGTCGGTGGTGGTTTGTTCTTCCTTTCAAATCCCCTCAAAATAAATCTTATTTCTTATAGTTCTGCTGCGGCTAACCCTTTCTTACTTCTTTTTTATGCTAGCCGTTAGAGGATTCCTTTCCTGAATAGAGTAAACTAGGACCAATACGAGCTGCTCGTCCTACCTCTCCAATCAAAAATATGGACTGCGTGCTTGAAAATTATGGAGCACTTCGTTTTTCATGTTTCTTGAAATAGCCTTGCGTGTTTTCTTCTCATGTATCTGAAAAAAATTATGTACTAATATTTGCTAGCATAGTAAGATAAAAAAAGCTTGAAAGTGGCTTCATGTAGTTTTTTTCCAATTTGAAAGCAAAACAAGACCCCAAACGTGAAGATTTCAAAGATCCACCATACAGTTGTCGAAATGCCTGAAGAGTGCTGTTTCAATTTCTACCAAGATAGACCATTTCAAGAAACAAACAGATTGAAGAGGAAAAACAAATCCAAATATCAAAAGGAAAATACAAAAGACAGAGGAGCATCTCGAGTCAAATTACATAACATACTTAGTCTTCACAATCTTTAGAAGGGTTAGCTTTAACAAGTATAAGGTTTAAAAAAAATCTCAAGTGAAATTAGCCCAAGGGTAGTCGAAGAGTCATCGTTGAAGTAAAAAATAATTTCTTATGCCTAATTGGGTGATCTTGTAGCAATTCAAAACCACACAACAGAATAAAAACGAAACAGCTCTGTCAGTCCTTGGGTTTCCTTCTTTCATTTTGTTTGGAAAGCCCCTTTTTTGAATGTTTAGATTATTAGTAAGAGCCATTCAAAAAGATTCTAACCTTGTGAAGAGGATATCATAAAATAGTCTACAATCTTAGGTTTTGGTCTGTTCGATAAATTCCCTCAGATTTCCCAATTCGCGGCTGGGATCAATTCTGAAAGGGTGGCCTTGCGCTGCTAGAATGGGGCCCTAAACTTCAGCATATGTCCACATAGGTTTGGGTGTCGGAAGAAGAGGGAACAAGAAAAAATCAGCGGGAAAAAAAAAACATACAAAATACCCAGTCATCCAATGAAAGGTAATCGCGCTCTGTGAAAGTCAGATACAAATACTATGTTTTATGGAGGCAGAAGATGTGAGTAACACTATTATCATGCTAAAGATCTTTGTGCTTGTATGCACTTGGTCTCCATGAAACTATATTAAAAATCAGAAAAGAAAAACACAAACCTTGAAGAATTCGCCTACAAATTTTATGAGCAAATTTTCAAAGTAAAAGTTTGTAAGCACAAGTCCGAAGTTATGCAATGAATTTTGATTGCCAAATGCTTACCAAACAAGAAGGTTTCACTAGATGTCCAAGCGGATGGGGAGCAAATGAGGGAAGGGAGTCGTAGCAGTGAGATTGGATTCGATAATTTAAATGTTCAAATTACTGAACCTACGTGGAGTTGGGTTTGGCAGAGCCTGAATCCTTAGCATCATTTTGTGCATAATATCCACCGGTAGCCTTGAAGTGCTTTTCGGAAGCTTGAAACAACGACCATGCTCTTTCTTGCCACACAGGATCTCCAGTGAACCGCCACGCATACCAGATGCTTTTGGCAACCTCGGGACGCAACATAAGCGCTGTCTCGACCACTTGGTTATCCTTCTTCTCCGTGAGTTTCTGTATCTCAAAAATTTTATGAGCTCAATCAGAGAAAATCATATCTCTGGAAAATTTGTTTGTTTCTCTCACATTTTGGCCTTGTCCTTCACGGGAAGAGGGGTCCGTTCGGCAGCAGGTTTCGGCCATTCCAAGCCCTGTATGGAATGTATCTAGTCAGTAAGAAGACAGGTTGGAAGGGTTCATCAAAGAGTGCAGAGAAACTAACCAAGCATGTAAATGGCTTCATTTTGGAGCAGCTTCCCACCCAACATCCAGTTGCCAGCTGAAGAACACGCGGTAGGCATGCGTAAGTTTTTTTTTTTTTAAGAAAAATATATTTCTGATTGAAAATTAGCAACCTACGAGCGAAGCATCCCAGTTGAAACATATCGCTTTGTTGCCCTCCTCTAGCTTGCGAATATCCTGCCAGATACGGTTGATTATTACCAGGTGACCATTGTAAAAGGTGTTCGATCAATGAATCCACGCTGTCTTGCCAAACTGTTACGCATGTGTTGCCAATTTACAATCAGACCACTTTCAATTTGTGGGCATGTTTTCTCAATTGGAGCATACGCACACTTCATGTAGTACATGGCTGGTTCACCCACCAGCTGCCAGTACTTGATGCCATATTCCAGAAAGCTATTCAGCTGATCTGCCCACCTTACGATTTCGCGCACTGGGGGTCCATTAGCAGAAGTCAAACTCGGCGAATATCGGCCGGGGAAAGCCGGGGGATTGTCTGTGGGTGATAGTAGCCATGGTTAATACGCAGCCAGACTCTGCGAGGTTCAAACGATCGGACTGACTCATTATGTGACGACTGCTTTCATCGGCGCGAGCGCGATAGCTGTTGTTACCGGTCCAGTGCGACAGCCGATTGAATTCTAATGTCAACGATGCTTTAACATGTACAAGTTCGATGGGTAAGCTTAATTCCTCAAGCAGAAATGATGTGGTATTTCTAGGTCTTGAGTAGACTAACCCGCTTGAGCTATGGTGATTGTCTTCTTCTCCTCCTTTTGTTTGGGACCGAAATGCAACCACGGATATGGAACGGCTGATTGGTTGAAATTCCAGGAATTCTGGAGCTGATTACCCAGTTCTTGGGCTTTGTGAAGGAGCTTTGTCCGATTTTTTCCAAGCAATTCATAGGTCGAAAGAATCGCGCCAAGACAGCGGATCGTAGTTTCGGGGGTCAGAGTGGCTTCTCCTTTCGCGTTGGATACTTGAAAATCCATGTTGATGGTTTGATCAAGAGCAGCCTCAAATTCTTCCTGTGGGCGGTTGGTTTGAGCGGTCAGTTCATAAATATAAGCCCATATAAATAGGATAACACCAGCATTGCTCACCCTTAGGTTCATGATGTGCAAGGCTGTCAGAGAGTCGACTATAGTGGCGCCGTCCTCGTTGTCTGGATTCTTCGAGAGTAGGGAAAGCGGAGCAACTGGTTAAACAGAAGGCCGAAAATCATCAACAATGTGAAGGTCTTTTGTGCCAGTTCAATATAGAGAAGTGACTAGCTTTGCTTACCATGAGCATGACTCCACGAAGGTTTGGCGTACATCCGGTAAGTCCTGAAGAAGGACTCTCTAATTTGCGATTGTCTGTCGAGTTGAGTGGATGAGAAGGATGGTCCTTTAGGTTGCAAGAGCATCTGTCTCTTGCGCCCGAATCGCAATGGTGAATGGGTAGATGTGAGCCCATACCATATAATGATTATGAACAAAATGCCTCCAATTGGACGGGGCTTCAGCCAACGCGAGCCATTACTTATCAGAACAGATTTCGTTGATTTGCCAGCATCCTTCAGCTGATTTGCGGTAGGTAGAAGTGCTTGGTTCGCTGTCATCTGTTGGTCGGGATTTGCACCGAAGTAAAGCCTTGATAATTTTTATGATGAACTGGCAGTCGACCCGAGAGAAAGACGATCGTGTTTTATCGACGTGTGGGTTTTTGAACGGCTCAACTCAGGCGGCTGGGTGAAAGGCGACAGAACGAGTTATGGTGGTCGGTCTCCTCCAGTGCTTGGTGTTTCTTCGGTATACTATTTATGTTTGTCTCGATTTACTTGCCACACTGTTGTACAAGCTGGAGTGAGTCAAACATCAGAGGATCCTGGAAGAATCTATATAAATGTCCAAAGTTTGAACAACCTACCAATTCCAAAAGTGTACAATGCACTCTGGGGCTGGGGAAGGCTGGGGAGTGCCACTTGCAGCCGGAAAAAACACTCGGTCGACCACACCAAGCTGATAGCGCCACGCGGCCCAGACAGAGCCGAAGTGATGATGTTTCCAGGAATACGATGACTTTGAGCATCTCTAGGGCCCCGGTTACTCGTTTTTTCGCATCAGGAGCACCAGGGTCCACTCAGCCGTCGTTTGCTTAGGTAGGAACCGCTAGCTGATCTGCGGGTGCTTGGTGTCCACGCACTTCCTCCAGGAACTATGATAATCCACCAAGTGATTACCGAACATTGATTGTCCATGGATCTTGTTTCTTGCCCCTTAATGTAGCTGTGTACTGCTACATATATAGGATATTGGATCGTTTGCTGCACTCATCGTTCTTCAAGTCGTCAAACGAATGGGGTGTCTCGATTGCAAGAACATCTTTACAGGCAGACATTCATCATATTTCAGAGCAGTGTTGAATAAGTGTCGGGTTCATTTCATTTGGGAGGCAGACTAAAGAAGAGAAGGTATATACAAAGGATTGTCTAGCAGTTAAGTTTGTATGTTGGATTTATCCCACGTTTCCAGTTTCAAGACGTCTCAGGCAGACAAGCAACATGCACAATGCCATTCAGCACTAGTTCGTATTTCATACTTATAAAGGTAAATTAGGCACATTGTGGCAAAAGCACAATATAGTTAGATTCATACAAATAAAGGTTTCTGGTACATGGGTACAAAATAATCTTCCTGATCTCCAGCATAAAGCTAGAGTTCGATGGATCCGGACCTGTCATAGAAACAGCCAAAAAACACCCAGAAGAAACGAGGTCCAAGCTACCAGATGATGAGGAACAGTCAAGGTGGAGCTGGGGCTGGCTTTCGATTTAGCAGCCGCGGTTTGTGGCTGCCATTGAATGGACTGCAGCTTATCGGGATAGTTTTGGACAGGAATAGCAAAGCCGATGGCTGGTGATGGCGAGGATCTAAAGACCGCGTAGACGTTTCTCAGGAAGGACGCGCCAACGATCCAGGTTGCTTTCCCAACGGCGGCATTGACGGAGCTCGTTGAGAATAACGAACCGTAGCATCGACTCTCATCACCTTGAACCTTTTGCGCTTTGAAGTTGTCGGCTGAAATCGCGTACTCTATCCCACCGAAAACCATACTGAGTTGTGGATTTGTGTCACAGGGGAAGTGGTAATATCCTGTATTTTGAGATATGAGATTCAGTTAACTTGAAAGTTTTTATGATTGATTGTAACATATCGGCGGAATAAATTCGCTCACCTTTGTAAGCTCCCTTTCCGGCGGTTGCTCCAGGAATGTTTTGATAAATTGCGTGAACCAGAGGTGCAGGGATGCCAATTAAGCTGGTACCAGAATCAATCATGACGCTGTCGCTTTGCGAATTATCGATAAGTGCGCCATTGAATTTTAATCCGTCGATTGGAATTTGCCAATGGGTGGTAGAAGACAGCCGAACGTAATTAATGTCGCCAGTGTAAAGCGATTTTTCGACACCGCCGAGTGTGAACACTCCGCCTGGTTGTTCGGGTTTATCCGGACTGTCTGTCTTCGATAATGGGGCGTCCTTGAAGCCAGACATGCTGATAGAAAACATGTCGATTTTGGCTTTTTGCCAGAAAGGGTATATCCCATTATTCGCACTGTCATCATTGAAAGACAATCCGAGGATTCCTGAAAGCATTTTTTTTTTCAGTTCAGCGGATCCCTCGAGCAGTTCTGCTATTCGTGAAAAGTGATCCCACTTACCGGAAGCACTTCCTTCAAACATGCCTTTCGAAGTGACAGTCATAGCTCCAAAAGGCTGGTCCTTGACTGAGTAAGAGCCTTGCTGGACTGTGTCATAGACGACTATCCCTGATGCATAGGAAGAATCCGCATAAGGGATTGTGTAGGCCACATCAGAAGATTGGAAAGTTGATGACTTTTTATAATAGAATAATGAGCCCCCGACGTCGGTGTTCTCAAGACTTTCTTTCATGCTCGAGTTGTAGGTCGCGATCCATAAACCCGTAGAGCCAGTGTCGATTTGGACCCGGAAGTCCTGTGGGGGCGTGCCGATCTTGATGATGCTATAGTACTCCATGTTTAGTCGATTGGTCAAAGCTACCACAAAAAAAATCAACCACTCAGAACCGCCATGATTGAAAGGAGAGTGTAGAAAGTTGATAGTGAATTGATACTCACTGAGTGACGAAGGCTGCGATGTCTTCGTTGCTAAAATAAGCGTGCCAGTTGAATTGGTGTCCGAACTGTCATCTTCTCCAACGGCTTCCAAATAGCTATACTTGGCCAAAAACCCATTAGATTGGGTAATTACGTATTCGGAAGAGGATGAATCTGAATCTGCGTTGTTGAAACGGGCTCCCTGTGTCTTGGAAACATAAGGCTGATGCTGATAGATTGGCAAGGAATCACAAGCAGCTCTAAGGCATATGTTTAAGAAGAAGGATATAAAGAAAAGAGTATTCATCACTCAAAATGACGGAGGGTCAATTGTCCTAGAATATTTACCAATGATTGTGCAGGGGAAATGTTCACTCAAGGAGGGTGAAAATTGAAAACGCCGAAAAGGGTTGTGTAACCAGACTGAGTAAAAAAGAAAGAAAGGAAAATTGCTGAAGAGAGAAATAGAGGAAATGATGGATAAGACGGAAGAAAGGGGGATGGTTTATTTAACAGTGAAGCTTGAAGTGGATATCAAAATGATTCATCGAGGAATACCCGTGTCGGTAGGTAAGACTCATCAACAGGAGGGAAGATGAGAATGAGCATCAAGGCGACTTCGCTAGGGGCAAAGCGACATTCACTCGAGTTTTATCAGACGGTGCTTCATTCCCGGTTTTTTTTTCCGGTACAAGGGAAGCACGAAAGCGTTAGGGATTCAGGGCCTCAAGGATGGGATTCGGGAAGCCCCAGTCGGCAAGTCTGAAATGACCATTGCCTCGGACTCTGGTCAAGCAACGGCCGCAACTGTCCGTCAGACATCGAGAACATGCGCCTCCAGATGACAAAGCCTCGAAGCAATCGGGGTAACTTGCTTCGTTCTCTTTCTCCACACCGAGAATCTTGCCACACCCTAGGGACCGGATTAACAGTCTGGATGAGTATGAAAAGGGCAGTCCAATAGGGGCGCAGAGGATTGCTTATTCCTGACGAAAACTCTTTCGGAACAGGGTATTGGACGACTGGGTTGCCCAGTTGTCCTACCCTGGTTGCTAGTTTGCCATCATTCCGACGGTTTCCTTTGAAGCTTGAGCAAGCACACCAAGTGTCGTCGGCCAGTGAGAGCCTTCGGTCTTGGATATTCCCAAACCTCGTCAGAGCAAAGTAAGCCCACCGGGTCATCTGCTCGTTATAATTCACAAGTTAATGGTGGAGGACATCTTTAGCATTTCTGCAGATGGCTGTTGATTGTAGAATGAGGAAACCCGCTGAAGGCAAGGGTCCGCGGTTCTTTGAACCCAGCATGAGAGAGGGGGCTCCGCAGGACTGTCCGGAAGCCCCCTTTCAGCACTTGCCCATCGCTCCCGAGGAAAGTCGAGCCCGAGCATACCACCCGGTCAACAGAAATTTCCTCAACCGACCAGCAGTCCTCCATCCTCAATGTTATCTCGTCACTCGCGATGGATGCCTTCATCGGCTCGGAGCTCGAAACTCTTTGGCAGGCCCATACATTCCACTCGTTGCGTCTTGGAGAACCAAAAGGACGGTGCTGGTCGGCCGATAGAACCCATCCGCGAGAATGCCACCGAGCCAGACCCAAAGGCACACTCGATCAACCTTCAGCCGATTGCTCGACCAACCCCTGCTTCTCAACATTCAAGTCGGTGTCCTAGTTTCCGAGAAATGCTCGTATCACATCACTGATTTGAAATCTCCGATTGTTCCTTCCAGATTCAGCATCCTTCCGACCTTCTGCTGCACCACATTCCAACCCCACTACGAACATGCGTCCGCCATCGCAGACTAGTGCACCCTACCCCGGCCGAGAAGGATATCCCCAGTTCGCGCCGAATCAGGTGAACCGCCACCAGCCTAGCCCCAACTTCCATCCATCTGGCTACCCTCCCAACTTCCAGCGCCCGAACCCAGGACAGCCTTCGTTTGCCCCCCGGAATGGTTATAATCACTCTTTTCAAAGATCTCCTCCATCCTATGCAGGAACAGGCGGCCAACCTCAACCGGATCGCAGGACTCCCCCGAATTTCTATCATCAAGCCCGGCCAGAAAATGCTTCCCGCTTTGCCCAACAATTCCCGCCACCTCCATCACCACTGGGCCAAGGCTTCCCAGGTAGCAACGGCCAACCAGCACGACCCTTTCCTCACACCTACGCCCCGCCCTCCAATCCACCCCAATCGTTTCCCCCTCACTTATTTCGGCCGCCATATCCCCCGGGATCATCCGTTCAGCCTCACCCGGGACCCGGGATGCCTCCGCCGCCCGTCTACCCACCACCAGATGGTGCATTTCCTCAATATCCAATGTCACGCTCCAAGAAAAGTTCCCAGCCTGGCGCCACTTTAGATTTTGACTTCCAAGATCTTGCTGGGCCGGATGCGCTTGGTCGATTGGCGCCTAATCAGAATGTGCCATCCAAATCAATGGCCAACAATCCTCTACCATTTCCTCATCCATCGACCGGTCACGGAGCTCCCAACTCGCCCGATGGACGTTCGTTTGTTAGACCTCCATACCCCGAACAATGGAGAAATCGTGACCCTGGAGCCTACCCCAACTCCCCACAAAGTCCTAATTTTAACTCGAGAAACCCCGATTGGAGCAAAAGTCGTCCAGGTGCACGCGCCAGAAGTGGGAATGGCCCAAGCTCAAGGACGGGCCCAAGACCAAACCATGGCCTCAGAGGTAGAGGGCGTGGTGCGGTACAACTAGAGCCAGAGCCAAGCTTGCCACCCCCGCCAAAAACGATCCTCGATGAGCGGGGACAGTACGGTGTAGGTCCAACTCCACTAGGCGTCCCGGAAAGCATTTCCTCGACCCAATCGTCCAAGGGCTTAAAGACCGAAGAACCTCTCGATGATTACAAGAAGATACGCGAGTTGATTGCCGGATCGAACACTCCAATCACCCTTCCGGGATTCTCCCAAGCGATCGCTTTCGAGAATTCTCACCTCCTTCAATCTCCCCATTCCTCCGAGATCAGTTGGGCCCATGGTCAAGCTAATAAGGACCAAATCGTCAAAAGAGCGTTCGACCTCGTCATCAAGAACCCCTCCTTGGAAATCAATCAGAAACGACAGACCGTCGCGCTGGTTGACTTCTTGATGCTTTCCCGTGAAGAACGCTCAGCAAAAATCAAATCAAGCTCATAGTCTCACTGTTGCTCTCAATAGAATTTAACCTCATAGAAACTTTCTGGCTCTCTTGTCTTTTCTCTTTGATTAGTGAAGTTTGTAACTGTCAGTGATTTACAAATAACATCTTTGACCATAATAACTGAAGGAGGTTGACACAACAGCACTACATACATGATGTGTATCATGAACATGACAATCTGTGCAGCAGTCTTCATTTGACCTGCGTAACATCAACTCAAAGCTCAGACATCCTCCATAAGTGATCCATTCTCAATATCCTCCATTTCAACCAACTCCCTTCCCTAGAAGCACTTGCATGAGTGCAGTGAGCTACTGACAGCAGTACTTTATAGAGCTCTTCTCTCTGGTTTGGTTTCAACCTGGTAGTTGTACATAGTGGCATTCTACCAAGCCATGTGTGTAGAATGATGAAGTCCAGTCTTTTTTTCACTTGCTCATCAAAAAAAATAACAAAGCAGTTCATATCAAGGGATATCAAATATGGCCAAATCCACCATTATGTGATTGATGGGTCTGGAAAAAACCTGCCATCTTTAAAACATGTTGGTTTGTCACCTGCCCATCAGGAATCAACTGATGCAAAACAGGTTTTATTATAGAAAATAATTAAAAACAAAGACAAAACAATTCAGAATAAGAAAGAAAGATTGCATACCGCAATTCCCAATAAGGTGTGTATTTCTCAGGAGACAGATCAGACAAGCCAAAGGATATCAGATCAAACAAAGAAAAGTAGTAGACACTGTGTGACAAAGATGATAAGAAAGATAAAAGAAAATGGTTGATATGATTCAGGCAAGAGAATAAGAGTTTTCTCACCAAATTGGCAGAAGCCAAGTGATGAATTCTCAAGAAAGAGTTGGCACAATGAGGGTGTGGGTGGGTTGATTCAAAGAGTTTATGAGTCAAAGTTGATGTTGATGAGAGTGAGCAATGTGTGATATGATGGATAAAAGATATAGAGAAAAAGAGAACATGAAACAAAGCTGGAGAGGGAAGCTGATAGGAATAGTGGTTGAGTGGCTGAGCAGCTAGGCAATTGAAGTGAGTTAACTTATTATTGGTGAAATTGAGGCTTTTGAGTTGTGGTTGGTTGAGTCAGGAGTGAGTGTAGGGCTACTGAGGGAAAGTATAGAGGACAATGGTGATTGAAGGGGTTTTTATAGGATGATAAGACAAGTTGTTTGTCTGTGGTTGTGATAGACTGGAATTAGGTTTAAGTGTGAGAGATGAGTTTAGCCTGTAGGTCTGTGGTTGTGAGAGACTTGGAAGATGGTGGGAGAGAGTAGAAGAGAGGGGGAGAAGAGTAGAGAAGAGTAGAAGAGGGATAGAAGCAAGCAAGTAGAAAAGGAATAGCAAAATCAAATGAAATTGAAATTGAACATGGAGTGTGTGAGGTGCAGCAACAAGCAGATCTGAATTTCAACATCAACAAATGCAAATTCTATCATGCACAGAGAACAACTCTTTGTACACACATATCTTGTTTGGATTCACAAAAAAACATGTGTCTCTAGCACTAGAACATGTGAAGAATAAGAATTAACAATGAATCAGCACTTCCTGAGCCATAATGAATTCAGTTTTAGTGTTGAATTATACTTATCACAGCCACAGAGCCTTGGGTAGTTTTATCAGTATGTGTCTTTTGGGTTATTCCAACAGTGTAACTGATTCAATGCATGCATATGCATCACATCACATTGTGGGAGCAATGTGGGGGCACCAAATTGAATTTTTTGATGCAGCACATTGGCATTGCATTGATTCAGTGATACAATGTGATGTGCTATAATTTGGCCACATCCCTTTGCATTGCTTTCTGATACAATGTCAATGTAATGCATTGGTATCAAATTAATATACATTTCTAAAAAAATGTGATGCCAATACATGGCTATTTATTGCATCACATCACATTGTTTCACCGTTGGTTATTCAAGATATATGCACATTTGTAAGGCTCATTTGAGACTTGGTTGTCTCAATCATAATCATACTTATTGATCACAAGGAAGATCAACAACAAAAGTAAGATAATCAATTCAATTGGGATTCCAGATGGGTTGTTTCAAAATTTCAAATCAAAAAAGGCCAAAAATGAAAGAAATTCATGGATGAAGATATCAATAAATTTCTTGGAACATGAACCTTCTGTTAGGGGAACTACTCTGGATATCTGAACACACACTGAAAAATCTCAAGGAACTGCTGCCAGTTGACATGCAGAACTCTTGTGAAAGTTGGGTTGTTACTCAGATGTTACTCAACCATTACCTCAGCCATACTTCTATGAACAGTCACAGTCACTGTGCACCTTTCACAGCTACTTTTCAGTAATTCTTACATTGGAATAGATTAAAGTATGTAGAAGTTACATTGGGAGTACCCTGCATGTCAGCTGCCACCAGTTTGGTGAGATTTATTTTTCATGGTAACAGTATTTAAGTTTTTTTGGTCAATTTGCTTCTCTTCAAGCTACAAGCTGGTTGTCTATAATTTGAGAAATACACTGGAATCTTGGCAATTGAAAACTCTTTCTTAATTCTAACAGTCTCATTTATGATTACAACTTGTTTAGCAATCTTGCAATGCAATGTAGAGTCAAAGGTAGAAAAAACAAGATTCTCCAGCCACCAAGGGATACAACATTGCAATTGGATGTTGAGGGGGCAATGAGTGGGACTGAAAAGAACATTTGTTTTGTTGATTGTCCCAAAACTGCTGTCTTGTTTTGTGAAACGGTTCCCAGCATGCCATGATTGACAACCGCTTCAACAATGGTAGCATTCTGGTGAATTGTCCCATACTCAGAGTCGGAATCAAGTGAATCGTGGCCTAGTCGGTCTGATGTGTCCTTTGCATGTGTAAAACCAGACCCCTGGTTCACCGAACCTGTTTTCAAACGCCCTCCTCCTGCCAGTGGCCCTCCAATCTCTTCTTGACCTTCGACTTTTGTTGGCCTCTTGTTAAATGGCGACTTCAAATCAGCGACTAGGATCGGTGACTGGTTAGCTACTCGAGCTAAATTACCGGAGTCCGAGGCTGCGGGCGGTGTCTTGGACTGTTCTGTATTCAATGACGAACCAACAGACAGTTTTGTTTTCTTTTTTTCGAGATTCAAACTTTCCTGGGGTTCCCCTGGTCGGGATCGGTCTGGCGAATCAACTGGATTGTCTGAACTTGGGCTCACATTAGGATTCGATGTGACTTGGTCACGCCCATTTGCTATGGTGGTAGGTTTCAGATTAGACGGCTCTCCAGTATTCTGGGAAGCCTTTTTCTCTGCATCTGGAGTATCTTCTACGGTTGTATTGGCGAAATCTATGATGGCGGTTGGGCTGGCTTCTTTCTCCCGGTCAGTTGGCTGGTTGGGGGAGGGTGTTGGATTGTCGTTGAGAGCTGGTGGCGTTGGTTTTTTGAAAGGTGCCCTAGGTTTCTCGATAGGTGGAGTTGGTTTTTCCGTTACGTCTGGAGCAGGCGGAGTTGTAGCTTCGGCTGGCGGCGCTGGTTTTGGGTTGCTCGTGCCCTCAACGATTAAGGTGGTCTGGAGTAGCATCACAACCCCGTTCATGCCTTTCTTTAGTTAGACCTTCTACTCTAGACTCCCTAGGATAATAGTAACAACTCACCACTTCAACTTCGGGCACAAAGATGTCTTCGTTTTCAGGTAACGGCAGCTTCCCTTTTCGGAGTGTAAAACCTACGAACAACCGACATACACACGTCGGGAAATGTCGACGATTCGAAGACATAGCTGAGGAAACTCATACCAGTCACTCCTTTCTTAAGGAAAGGTTGCTTAGATGGCCGCGAATCCTGCAGCTCAGCCTGCGACGCTGCAAATTTATCGCACTTGTTTTGCTCGCCTTCTCCGACGTTTTCTGTGCCTTTTGCTTCAGTGCTGAGAACATGGAAAGCTGTTCAAACAAACAAGCATGTGACTAATAGTTCTTTTCTGTTTTTCTTAAATATCTGTACTGTAGCCAAATAACCTACGAAGAAAGTAAATTGAATAAAATTGTTTCCCGTTGATGCGATCAAGCTGCGACCATGTGAAGACCGAGTTCTTAGCGCAAGACGTCATTCGATAACGACAGAAGCAAGCCGAGAAAAGCTTACCTCGTGAAATATAACCTGGATATTGTGAAAGTTTAGCTCGTCTCTTGTCAGGATAGAGGCTCTTTCAAAGGGCGAAGGGATAAACATTCACTCGCCTGATAATCTCCGGGTGGAGTGCACTGGAGCACACATCAAAAATAGATGCAAAAATTGTTTTCTTCATCAGTCCATTGTTTTCTCACGGGAATTGGAGTTGACCAGGCAGTAAGAAGACGTGAATCACCTCTGGAATCACAAAATCCATGTGTTTGACACTACTTCCTCGCTCACCTTGCATTAGCTCAGGTCCCTGGCTTATTGTAATGTTACGCTCGCGGTTGGCCAGATATATCTCAACACTTAAGATTGCCGTAGCAAGCTGGGACCCAGCGTCAGTATTTGATGGCTTCAAGACGCCATCGCCTGTGATTTCTAAAGATATAAGAATTTTCTTCCCCGCTAGTAATGTTCGGATAGAAATAAGATCTTGACTTGTAAGCTGTCAAGTTCAAAATTCAGAAAAAAAAATCGGGTGAACTAACCAGGCTTTTTAGAATCAGGAGCCGGACCGTTGACGATGAGCAATCCAGGAGTGAAAAATTGTCCGCCACTACGCTGGCAGATTGTCAGATTCGCCAGAAAGACCAAAGTGGTCGCAAGAAAAATTGTTCCCAGAACTTGTGTGCGAGCATGGCCTAAGGTCGTTTTCTGACGACGCGGGTTAAGCGTTCCTTGAAAGCTCAGTCGCATGTTCTTGATGATGTGCAGTTGCCCTAACGTAGGTGTAACCGACAGATTGCCGTAAAATTATGCACAAGAAGCCTTCGATGTGATACTTGTGACGACGGAGATGGTCAAGGTGACTCTTCTTGAAGCGCAAGTTGAAGGTTGAATTATCCTAGCAGCATGGAGTAGGGCGATTCCAATCCAGGTCGTTTTGGCGGAAAATATCAAGCTGGTCGTAGGGAGGGGGGGGGGGGGGGGTCTACAGTCAACATGAGCTAGCACGAAGTTCTGTGGGGGGACTAAGAACTACATCATCAGAAAATTAAGGGGGGAAAATCATGGATTGGAGGCACTCCCACCTTGTCTGCACCCTCAAATGAGGGGCCATGGAGCCCGAGGAAGGACATCTATAATCGCCTTTGAAAAAGATTACACATCTGTTCACTTGTAACCTGGGAGCCGGGCTAGCAAGCAACAAGTAATTGGTAACGCTACCTTTGCATCGGGTACAACCAGCCTGTAGATGTAGACGCTATCCTCTCTTTTTACCCGCAAGGCGCGATGAACTCTCTACATAGCGGGCTAACCGATCGTATTGTTATTCGGATGTAGAGAGAACGAGCTGTTGGTGCTCCTCTTGCCACTTAGTGAAGTGAGCCAGATGCGGGTCTCGTCAGTCCAAGTCATTCCTTGAACTGAGGTTAATTGGTATTCTTCACCTTCTACAGTTGAAGCTTGTATCTGAGGCCTCTTGTTTTAGGATCAAGGCTTCCCGGTATGGCCTTACCGAACTATATCGTCGGTAAAAGGTACACGCCTTGCTAACATTATTAATTTTGATGTCACCCCTCGCTGAGCCGAGCTGTGCACCCTGCTTCCGGCTCGGTGTAGACTCGGACCAATCCGCCGAATGTGACACTACTTTTGTGATTCCGCGAATGACACTACAACATGCTGTCAGTTTGGTACCTCAGAGTGACTTTGTCGGTCACTTCTTGCCGACTGATATGGGCAACGTTCGCTGCGACAAGATCTGCCAGCCAGATGAACCTCAAAGCTGAGGTGGCACCGGAACCTCACAATCCCTTTCCCTTGGCATTGGACGCCAGGCAGTCGCATCATCTCCTGAGCAAGAAGTCGTCAACATCCCTTTGATTACAAGCTAGATTGGAGACCGATTCAGACTCAATGAAAGCAGTGTTCATCACTGGCTTCAATGATTTCTTTGGAATGATCTTCCTTCAAGAATGCCTGGTTGGAGAAGCTGCCGGCTTGCCAAGGGCGACCCTGGGGAAGCTGGAGATGGTGCTTAACGAAGCTCTCAAAACAGACTATGTCTGTTGGAAAGCACAAAAGCTCAAGGAGGCCTCCAAGATGCTTTTGCCAGACTCATGAGCTTGGTTTTGAACACTATTTACAGAACTTTATTACATTAAATGAAACTATATACATAAACAAGATAACAGCTAAAAACTAAAAACTAAATTGAAAGCGTGAATTCATTCAGTGACCATGGTCTTGACATCTTCTGGGCGAGTTTACAATCGTACAATAACAAAAATTGAAATCATCATCAACAGATCCTGCACATGTTTTTTTTCTCTTTTTTCATCTTTTTCCCCTTTTTTTGACTTTTTTTTCTTTTTTGACTTTTTTTTGATGTTTTTTTTTTTCTTTTTTTTTTTCTTTTTTTTTCTTCTTTTTTTTTTTGATCTATTAGTACAATGTAGGAATAGTTTTTTGTGAGGTTTTATGTTTTTCATATTTTTTTTGTGATTTTTTTGGTTTTGTTATGTTTTATGGTTTTTTATGTTTTTTTTTTTTCTTTTTTTTTTTGCTCGTAGACTGTACATATGTATTGATGAGAAACAGATTTGGAAATAGTGATAACGGATCATGACTGAGGAGGGATGACTGTGGACTAAATTGAAATAGGAATTGAAATAGGAATTGATGAGTGAATAGAGGCTCGACGAATGATAGGCCTTAAATGGCGCACACCGCAACTTGCTGATATTTTCAGCGGTTAGAACTCTGTCGGCGGTAGTGGGTTCGGAGATGTTGCCTCATATTATCATTTCTGTTGAACATTTGGTTGCAGCCGGGCCAAGAGCATCCGAATGCTATATTGTGTAAAATAAAAGGTGAAAAGGGAAGAGTCAGTTATAGCAATTCTTCTTTTAAAAGAAAGAATTAAACTATTCTGAATGACGACTACGTTTTTCATCTGAATGACGAGTTTGAACATGTCGTCGAAGGTGTTCGCTTCTCCTGTTGAAATAACAAACAAGACTTATTCACGTCAGGAGTCATTCAACGAGCTAAACGGTGCTGAGTAGGTTTTGATTTGTCTAACCTGAAGCATGTTGTACAACGGTCGATTTTACAAACGAAAGCCTTCTTAACCTTCCTTGTCTTCTCCGTTTCCATGGAATGTAATAATTCAGGTTCAACCCTTACATCCCAATGAGAACCAAAAAATTGTGCATTTGGCGCAAGTACCGGCTTAATGATGCTCATGTCGTCAGACGAATCCTCAGTATTTGGTCGAGTTATCGGTCTTCGACCTCTGCTTCCCTTTGTTATCAAAGCGGTATCGCCGTAGTTGAATTCTTTGATTGTTGATGGCAAGATGATTTGCGATGATAACGAGGATCGCTTCTTTGAACCCCTTCCACCTGATGTTGATGGCGTGCAGGCTGGAACATTAGTTGAAGGTGACTGTGAAGTATCCAAGATTGGATGATTCATTTCGCGGCTTGATGCCGATAGTGACAGTGGTTTCAATAATGATTCGTACGAGTCGCAATTCACAGCGGAATAGTTTATCGGGTAACTTGGGTATTCCGGCGGAGATTGTCTAGCATTATCAGGTGCCAGAGGTGAATGTGGCCAATGACCTTCAAATGATGCATCCAAACGTAATGGGAGCTCGACCGAATTCGATTCTACCATAGGAGTGCTGCGCGGATCCGGTAAAAACCCGTTGATAGTGCCGAAGTTCGACGGGATGTTTCCAGGATCTACGCGGGGTAACACCGAGGTTACCAATAGAGAATCTACGCGTGGTGGCAACGAGCTTGGCAATAGAGAATCTAGGCGTGACGGCACCGAGGTCGGCAGCAAGACAGAGGTAACGAAAGTTTGGTCTTCCGGGAGACCCGTCGCAGGCTGTGGTGTGAAATGATTGATAGACGGATTATGCGAACTGAAGGCTCCATATGATCGAGGAGGGTATTGCGACGGGCTGAAGGCGGCCGATGTGGGGAGAGCTAGTGATGGTTGCTCAATTTGGTATGAGAGCCTTTGGAAATCACGGTTCAATTCCTCTATTGATGGGCTGGAAGGCCATGTACCGCCATCGACAGCGGCACCTGTCAGTTCCGCAAGCCCAGCGGGTCGATTTGGGGCCAGGTTCTGATCATTATCGACATGGATATATCCAGCAGGTATGGGGACTAAACCAGCGGATAACTGTATCAGTGTCCCCCTCAGTTTGGGAGTAAAATGAAACAAACTTACCGCTCAGGTAGTGACTGTGATTAGTGGCGAGGCTGTGTGGATAGCCAAAGTTGCCTTGCGCGCATGGAGGATAGGCTGGGATATCTTGCGCTGAGAATGCTGCTTGGTCGTAGTTGACGAACGGATTGACAACAGCATAATTGTTGCGTGCCTCGTGAAAATTATCCACCGAATTCCTAAGTGTCGAGCCTCCAGTCTCATAAGCATCGTTATTGATCCACTGTGGGGGATAGTTGTTTAGTCGCGTGTCTTCCTCCCTCGAGACCACACTGCTTGTGACGCATCCCGGTGCCCATGTTTGCTGTTGGTGTTGGTCACTCGGGTAACACCAATTGGGCTCGAGTGGCTGTCCAAAACATCGTTCTTCACCAAGCACAGTTGCCTGACTGGTAGTGGTAGCTTCATGGCCCGTGACTTGACAGTTTAAATTTGCCTGAACTGTGGTCGAGATCGGCGGTTCGAGAGGATAACCAGGATTCCATCCAGACAAGTTTTCGCGCAAAAATCGAGAATCTGCTGGATTAAGAGCAGATAGGATTACATCAAAACCTGCATTCACTCAACAACAAACAAGCCCGTGGACTTTCATCAGGCAGCTTACCCTGGCCGTTCTCCATGTTATAACCTTCAGACATTCTTTGTCCAATCCGAGAGCCTTCCTTAAGATAGAAAACGATAGGTGGAGACACCAAGATGGATGGAAACCCAGGAGATAAACTCGGGGTACGTTCAACAAAATGAAAAGAACAGATGACAAAAAGGCGTGAATTCGTGAACGCAATTGTTCGACGAAATAGATTTGGAAGTGAGAGCAGGTGATAAAAGATAGTAACTCGTTGATGTGAGATTCTTAATTCTTTTCCTCAAGCTGCTGAGAGAAAAAGCAGGGCACGAAATGCGTGACACGGATTGAATGAGGGCTGAGGAAGACCTTCTTTGCAGTGATCGTTCACTAGATCTGGACTCCTTTGCAATTCCTTTATCTCATCAATATGCGAGCATGGAACACGGAAATGACGGCTTCGTGCCTTCCTTTAAGAAAGGTTCAATCAATATTTATCGTGCTTCCTGGGAAGGGGAAACGTGACTTTTTTCGTTAAAATGGTCTTGAAAGGTGATTTTTAGAAGTTCATAAAGCTAACAAAGGAAAACCAAGAAATTTATATGGTGGATTGGTAGGGATTTAGGGATTTGGAGAGTTCGCGCTAGTCGTTGCAAATCGTATACTGGATAATGTTTTGCTACCTTTTAAATTGTTAAGAATAGTAGGACTCAGGCAGTCATTAAGGGCGTAAATCAGTATCGGGGTACTCAAACACCTTCAAAGTCTGGGTGGAAGCGCAAGTGCGGCCGTCTTTTAGATCGAGGAATGGACATGCATTTATATCCCGGACCCAGCCTGTAGATGAATAAGAAAGGAGGACCAAAAGGAAGATAGGAAACAAATGGGAAGTTGGCATGGCGCATGAATGAATACTGAGGCCAGGAATAGTATGTTCCGACGTGAAAGTGGTACGCGGGATGTTTGCTGATGCTAATGGAGGCTTTTGATGCTCAGCCGACTATGTATGAAAATGTCGGAAGGGTTCACCACGGCCGGCAGGATGACGGGCTGCAGAGGTTGAGCTTAGATGTTATGTTCCGTCTTGGAGATGGCACGTGGATTGATTATTGAAGCTAATGGAGTCTTTTTGTCTTTGGATGACCCAATCAATATCGAAAGTATTCAACCACTCATGCTACGGCAAGTGGCCTCAGGGTAAACTGGCTGCGCCCAAGATTGGAACATCGATCAGCTAGCCCCTTGATGTTGAGTGGCATGTCACAGCAGAACAGAGGCTGTCACAGGCCTGTCAGTAGAGACTAAGCACTTTTAGACGCCCCTACATGCCTTCATTATCATAGCGGCCCCTCAAGCCCACAGGGCTCAGTTGGACTTGGAAGGCTGAGTTGGAATTGGAAGGCTCAGTTGGACTATGAAGCTAACTTAACTGAGTCCCTCCGGGCCCTTGGGGAATTAGCTAAGTTAGACTACGAGTATGAAGGCTCTTTCTGAGAGCGCCAAAGGGGCAACTCGAGTAAGTCTGATCTGTCTCTAGATGCCTCAACACAAGCAATGAAGCTTGTTTGGAGCACAATCAGGGGTCGTGATACGTGAGATGTGTGCACCTGTCTCAGCCTGCTGGCTGCAGGCAACCAGACTAGCTTCACACAAGCCCCACCGTAATCGACTCGCGAAACAACCCTCCAAAGAGGAATGAGACTTGGGCAAGTTTGCCAAGAGGCTGAGCCATCATACTCATCAATTTCAAAAAAGGTCCAAAAACAAGATTCTTACTTTCCTGCTGAGTGGAATCAATTTTGAAACCTCAGAAAGATTGACATTGTGCATAGGTTTATAGAGACCAAATTATTCAAATTGAAAAGTCCACCATAAAGCTTTACTCAAAACAAAAGGTGCAAGTAAAGGTTTTCTTGGCAAGGGGGGCTTGCAGCATCCAGGCAATGAAAGAATCAGTTTCTGAGGTCGAGGATGGTGTGAATTTTATCAATTCAGAGTAAAAAAAATTAGAGCCTTTGTTTGGTTGAACCAGGCCCTTTCAAAAACAATGGTGCACTTTACTCGTTTCCAAATAATTGATGGTAGTTTGCAAATTGATGACAACTCCCAATTAGAAAGAAAAATAAAAATGGTCAACATGCTATTTCAAAACCTATTTCCAAAAAACCAATTTTGTTTTTAGGCCAGCATTTGATGATTGATCACTCATAAAAAACATTTGGGTATTTACATAAATTAAACCCCCTTTGTGAATATTACACTCTATTTTCCAGGGTAGACCATGCAATCTAACATTCCAATTTTGAGTTTCAATTCACTTGCAATGTGGCTCACTGAAGTGATCAGCCCCATGTTTGACCTTTAATCATGAAACAATCAAATTGGAATGCTTATTTGCATGAGAAAAGGGCCCTTATCTTTTCCCCAATGGGATATCAAAATTACTCATGACAAATTAAATGAAAGGTATCAACATTCATAGGCAGAATTTTCAGGATTTGAAATGTCAAGAAATGGGGTTTTGCAAAAGATAAATGAGGAATTTATTGAATCGATACATATCATTCTATAAAAGAACAGGAACTCTTTACAGATTTGGTATCCCACCCAAAAGGTTTTTGGAACTGAGAGGACATAGAAACACAAATCCCAATAGTAGAATTATTAAGAAAACCCAAGGCAGGTGGATTTTCAAGCATATAGAATGCTTTACCAGCATAAAATGGCCATCTGTTGCACTTCTCAAGATTTTTTATGTTGCATTGCTTTGAAGGAAGTCAGCCACTCCCAAAGACAACCCAACCCATCCTGAGAAACTTTCACAAACTTCATATTATTAATCTTACCTGGAGTCTTTAGGCAATAGATAGGAAAAGTGGGAGTCTTTCTTGCCCCTCAGGATTATGTGTCTCTTACTATTTTGTGAATCATGCCTTACTCAATTATTTGGAGAGAGGGAAATTAATTTGTATCTATAGTTAGTAGTTACAACTCTTTTGTCAAGTACATTTTTTTAGGAATTACAAATCAAGAAAGTTTCACATGATTTCAGTGGTCTTTCCAATCTCTATAGGAAAGTTATAAATTGGACAACAATGAAACCAACTGGGGTTTGATATACATTTATGAAAGGGAAGGAAATCTGATAATTCAATGTACTAAGTGTGTCTGTTTTCCCAAAAGGTTGCATCTATTAATATGACGAACGATAAAGTCTTATAAGTTATATTATAGTTTTACACTCCAGAAGTGTTGACCAAGGTGCAACGGCTTATTCTTCTATATGATCAATGTGAGCTTCCTCAGATCGGGACATTCCCAAATTTCCGACAAGCTCGTACTGTCCCAGCTCCTTCATCGCGCGCTTTCCTGATATCTTTGAGTGAGGATTGTAAGAAGATCAGACTCGGCTCCGTTTCGAGTCAAAGCTTAGAGGTGAGCTCACCTTCTCTGGTCAAATCGCAAATTGGGAGCGTGAACATGCACTGTTGGCTGAATAGTGGACTCACATCCGGTTCCGTACTAAATGGAGAGGGACAGCAGGATATTAATCATGGGATTCAAGGTGATCATTTTCAAAGAAAGGGCTTTGTGGAACTCACGCATTTTGCCAGGCTGTAGGGCCCACTACACGTCCCACTTTTTTCTGGCATTCCCAAGCTGTTGTCGTCAGTAGCTCGATTGTTAAGCCATGCTTAGTCAATGCCTTTTCCCCTCCGAATAACTTCGTTCTGACTTTATTTCCTTTCGCGCGTACAATGTTCATCATTCTGAAAAGGAGTAGGATTAAACCAAGTTTAATCAAATATATTAAAGGAAATCGACGAGAGGTGACCGCGAGGGAAAACATAGGGCTGACTCACACTCCATCAGGTGTACAGTAAGATAAATAACCTCTGTCGCTCCATGATCCATTTTCGCCGTTTCCGTTACATGGGTCCTGCGAAATAAATAAGTTCGTTTAAGTGATGATATTGGAAATCGACTTGATATGTGCCTCGTTGCTCACACTTCCTCGTGTAATGAAGACATTCTAAGAAAAATGATTCATATAAGAACGCGATGACGAAATTTTATCAGGTCAGAGAAGAGTCTGGTTCTACTTACTTGCAAGTTCCACAAGTGACTTAAAGTTTGGAGCTTATAAGCTTGATCGAACTGTTCTTGCATCTTGCTTTCGGCTCCGTCTGTCGCTTGAGAGAAAAGCTGCCCATCAAGATTCAATCCTCGGAGGCCCGTTGGCGTGCTGATCCCTGAAGTGTTGACTTCCGTTGTCATGTTTACTAACGCCCCCTGAACATTTTTCTTTACTTCGGTCAATAATAGGCCAACGTCACTCCACTTCAAGATTTATTTCAATTTATTTATGGAATTAGTCAAGTAGATTAGTTTTTTGTTTCGTAGCTCTTCAAGTGCAGCAAATGAACCTACTTGGGTGAAGGCGTGCGAGGCGACCGGATACTTGAGATTTAACATTGGACGAATAATTGCAGTAGTCTTCGGACCATAAAATAATGTGTAATTAGCACTCTTAGTTACAAAGGAAAAATTACAATACCAAGTCTACTCACAGCGTAGAAGACACTGAGGACAGCCCGATAATAGTACTTCCCAATTGGCCCAAACCAGACTCCCGGCATGGCCAGTATTACCCAAAAGATTGCTGAGATGGTAGTTGAAGCATATTGCAAGGCGTGTGTTGGCGGGGGGACAAAGTCGAAGGTCTGGGAGGAAACCGAGGAAATTAGGATGTGTTGAAATTTTTGTGCTAGATCAGGGCTGAACTTACCATTGCTTGGCTTATCTCTGTTGTTCAACACAAATGAGTGGGTAGGTGACAGGATACAAGGTTCGATAAGTGATTGAGGTCCTGAGACTGAAGTTAAAGAAGAAGGCTTTGGACGACATATGAAACTTACCCATTGCTATTGTAGAGGCAAAGGCCACGGCATCAAAAGCTTGGTTCATTCGAGTACTCCAACGCTGAGCAGCGACTAGAGCATACCAATCTTTACCACTGACGCCATTGCAAAGCTGGAATTGATGGTACACGTCCAGGTAGGAGTGATCGGTCAGTATTCCGGGTCAAATATGTGAGCTTGGTATAGCGCGACTGACCTGGTCGACTCTACACACACTACCGATTTCCAAGTTAAAATTATTGGCCCCGACTCGATTCGCGTATTGCTGAGCAACAGAAGACAATATTTCAAAGTGGTTTCTGGGTCAGCTCGTGCATTGCAAGGGATAAATGATACTGAGCGGAATATTCACTGTACCTTGAGTGACAAGATTTCCCCATGTGGATAGGTTTCCAAGTATTCATTCATTTTCAAGTCCGTCCAGAGCTCTGGTGACAATCTTCTCTTGAGGCAGTCATTGTGAGTTGCTGTGTCATTCTGTGTTGTATTGTTGGTACCTGAAGGAGATGAGAGAGAATGCTGAACATTAAGACTTGCTGTTTGATTTAAAGAAGCATTGGGTAGCAAACTAAGAAGTGGCCTGCCAATCGTTGAACCTAGTAGGTAGGATAGTATCACAATAGCTAATCCAAGACCAGTCTTATTAATCATGTCCTTGTAACAAGATGTTGCATGTTCTCTAAGGTTACCTAAGGGGAATGCTGGGGTAGGGGTTGGGAGGGAAGTAGGTGGTCAATTTAAGATGAACTCGGTGATTCAAGGTCCCAAAGCGGTCGATGTGCGTACTGGCCGTGTAGTGGGGGGCTGGCTATGTATTGCTCCGAATGTTTTCAGACCACAGACTCTCACAATGGCGTGATTGGAGTGACTGAAGTCGCTGCGAGCAGGCATGGTACGGCATCACCACATCTGCGACCCCGTCGCGTCGAATTTTACAACGAGGTGACAACAAAAGTTGGAGGAATGGCGCCATTTTACAGCTCCCGAGCCGCGGGCTAGATCGAACACCTCCATTTGATGAGGGGTTGTCAGAGCAAGCTGAAACGAATTTCAATTCGAGTACGGATGACTATTCCTTTAACACAAGATGCTTCGGTAAACCTAGTGAGAAACAAGAATACATTGCATCATGACTCTTGAAACACATTGAGTTTGTTCCGCCTTCCCAAAAAGTGATGTGTATGTATCTGCGTATTTAGGTGGGTTAAGTTAACGGTTGTCACTCACAACAAAACAAAACCAACGCGCATGCCCATGAAGGGCACGTCAAACGACGATTGACGAACAAGCTCGGCAATCTTTGCAATGTGCAGCAGAAGCAAACACGCAGTCAAATACCGCTTCACCTTGATCAACTGCACAACCAGATGCTCCTGAGCAGCCCCGCACGCGTAATGCCGTGGATAGATTCCGGCCATGCAGGTGCACTTCCTTCCTCTACCTTTTGTGATGTCGCAATTGATGTCCTTGAATAGGCAATTATAAGTACCTCAATGAATCATAACCAGGTACCTGGTGTAATAGGGTGTAATCAACACGCGATGCCAAAGCCTATCTGCAGCAATGGACCGCTGCACTACGATACATTAGTCCCGCGGTTACCGTGGCCGCAGCGGGTTTTTTCCTGATATCGCTATTCATATCGATAGCGTATCAATAGATTCGGTGGGCTTGATACGTTAACCTAAAAATGGGCCGAATCGGCTCAAAATTACGATGAATCTTGGTGTATCGGCGTTGCCGGGCCGATAACAAGTTATCGGCACTGGTATCAAGACCGGAAACGCCGTACTGATAGCGACAGATAAGGCAACGGTGCTGGTCAACACCAGAAGCATGGCGTTATCGTCAGCGTATCGGACCCATTGTTGGCACAGGCTTGATAGGATTCTGCTGAATAGTTGGCAATCCACAAGTAGCTCTTGTTACATCCGCCATTCCACACAATGCGGGGAAAGCCTCTCACAAAGTCAGAATGTAAATATTCTCTTATTGATGGTGATAAGCATTTCTATTTGTAGAGGCTGCTACTCCAAGTTCGGGTGGCTTTATCCACGCACACATCTGATGTGCTACTGTGCCGACATCTTTAAACATTGGCGCGATAAAGATTTTCTTCCTCGCCACGAGGACGTCTCATGGTCACAGTTGAGGCGTTATCAACGTCGCAGATCGTCGTCCCGGCTGAAGGATTCAATATGTATTGCTCTTACGGCGGGATAACAGTACTCATGACCCATCAGAAACGGTCCATCGACCTTAGTACTATTCTAAGCCCCTCTCTGCGGAGAGAGACTCGACTACAAAATACAACCTGCATGAGTTTGGTGCTAGCATATCGCGCAAGCCCCCTTTTCAGGGGAGGGACTCAGGCCCGATCCCCTGGGAGCCAGAGGCACTTTCGGAGACTTATTAGAATGAAGCACTCATGTGCAATTGTTAGATGAAGTCCTCGTACATATGTTGCGCCATTCCATTTGCGCCTTCTCTCTCTTTTCTCTGGAGGGATATCCTCGTTTCGGCAAAGGGAAGAAGCAGATATGTAATAGAATATTGACGCCGATGGTGACTCAATATCGAAACATGAGGATAAACCTGGCTCACCTTTCGATTGAAAAGAGTCACAAGACTGAACTCCTGAAATTTGTTCGGAGAAGCATCTAATCAGTCTTTGTCTTTCGATCGAGCACCTCCGAATAAAGATTTGATGGATGATGATCAAGATGATGACATGGGAGTGGGCAAGGGAGAAGGTTTAACATTCGACCTGACCTGATCACGTGCGCATCTTTGCCACTAGATATCTATGTGATCCCTGGGCAGTTTGATTGGAAAAATACGAGTTTTTTTTTCTTCGAAAGACTTTACTTAAGGTTGTAGAGACGGCGAGATGCTAGGAAATCATCTTCGATGTTGCAAGTTGAGAATAGAAATTTTATAGGGGCATTAAGAAGTGCATGTCTTTCATCTTGCAAATAAAAGGAAACACTGGTAGATAATGCATTTAGGCACACAATTTTTTGAAAACGAAAGTAGTGCTCATTAGCTAGAAATACAGTGGGTTAAGACACCATTATCATGAGTTTACCTTGTAAGAGGTCGTGCGCACAACCGTCCGGAGAGCCAGATACGGCCCTGTCGTAATTGGAATCCTGAGGGCTTCCTTGAAGCTAGATGTAAAAACTCCTTAATAGAAGTCCCCCAGAATTGCAGTAAGGTGAGGCCCCGGGCAACTTTCGAAGGAGGGGACGAAACTGAATGAGTTTCACCACCACGTTCCCGTAAATCTAATCGCTCGAATCAGTCAGAGGTAGTCAGAGGTAAACTTGATCGACTACCGACTTTTAGTGGAGTCAGGTTCTGTGCCACACGAGTTCACAACGACGTTCCCAAGCATATGATCACTCGAGCCAGTCAGAGGTAAACTTTATCAACTAACATACTATGGTGAGGCCAGGTTGCATGCCACTTCTCGGCCGACAATCGACCGACCCCTGAAGGACGGAACAAAATGGTATTGAGCAAGCCCACAGAAGCTCACTCGGGCGAAGGTATGCTCGGGTGTCTACGGCCCGCTCAACACGGAGGACTTGACACCCCAATTTTAACCAGATCTAGCCTCTTGACATGGTTAGCCCAAGCCTCACCACAAAATTTTCACAGACCAATAGGCCTGAGGTCCCATCATAGTGGTGAGAACAGCAGGTATAATAATTCAAGCCATTTTACTTTGATGCGTCGGTAATAAATTTTGTTTTCTCAAAGCAAAATCCTGCAAAGGTATAGCAATTAGAAATAGAACTCATATTCATGATATTCGCCATCTTGGGTCAAATGGCTTTTTTATTTCCAACGATGAGTGCACTGCAACATTTGATGTGGATATGGAATCACAACTGTCGTCGGTTGTTTCTTCGGGTTTCTTACAATTGACGTTTTAAAAAGACCGCCTCAATTTACGATCCACTATGAATAAGTGTAGGATTCAGACTAAAACTAAGCAGGGGTTTGAGATGATAAAAAGTTTCCCGGACAGGAAGATAAGTAAGCACAAGAAACAACCAAAAAAATACTATAGTATGTTAAATATGGTATGTTAAATATGGTATGTTAAATATGATACATAAAATATGATATATTGAATACTATCTCTTTCGGCTCAACTTTGCACATTCTATTCCACAGGTCTTTTTGCTGTCAACACCGGGGCTGTGTCCTATTTATTGAAAGATCATCAACTACTTCCTTCTGCTCTCCTGCTATGAAACAATCAGGAACTAATCTGGTTTAAATCGAATCTGGTCTGCCCCCCATCGCTGTCGTCCTCTTCACTTATTAGGCTGTGGGGGAAGTAAGCGCACCAAGTTTGTTTACAGACACCAATGAAGTTGAGCCCCTTATAGACGGTCGGTCGCCTTGAACGAGCAAAGACGGCGGTGAAACATTAGCATCCACTACAACGAAAATCTGAGCTACCGAGATCGTTGCATCCTCTGCGTCTGTCATGAGGCCCTCCTCCTCCGGTTGGGAAAGCAAAGTTGGGTCCTCTACGGTTTCCGGTAAGACGATTATAAGAGCTTCAGTTTCGGTATCTTCATCCACCTCATCATCGTCGGATTGGATTGAACAATCACCGTCTGCTTCGATTGATGCTATTTTCAATCCAGTATCTTCATCGACCTCATCATCATCGCTGGTTAGGTCGGAACAGTCGGGATCTTCTTCTGATTCGTCTGAAACTGTTGTCGAGCTTAGATCCTCTCCATCTTCGTTCGAACAGTCATCCATTGGTGAATCATCCTCCTGGAATGGGGCGAGGATTCGCGCGTCTTCATCTATTTCCACCACAATTATGGTATCATCTGCGGAGTCACTATCGTCTTCAGCTAATAAATCCTCGTCATCTCGTATTGACAATAAGACGGAATGTGAAGATTCTGATGTGCTCTCGTCGTCATCGTCTGAAAGCTCCACAATTATGAGCTCTTCCGATTGAGTTGTATCCTCTTCTATTTCAAGTACGACTACGACAGTTGCTTCTGATTCAGTCTCATCATCTGTGTTTGAGGAGTCCGACATCGAAGAGACATCGTTGGCGAAGCGGAGCGGAAGGGCCTCATCTTCATCCATTTCAAGTGAGACGCTGGACCGAGGCCCTAAAGAATTTCCAAAGAATGCGCCCGGGAATTCCATGGGGGAGGGAACCTCATCTTCGAATCGGAATGGGAAACTTGACTCTTCTCTAAAGGCCATGGAGGTTGATTGCGGGAACCCCATCGGAGGAAAACCATCAGTGATCATGGATTCAGGGAACTCTGGATCATCCCCAAACATCGGCTGGAATCCCAAATCGTTGCCCATGGAGTAAAAGAGAGGGTTTGGTGGAAAAGGGTTAATTTGTCTCGCAGCATGCGCCGCGCCCGTTGCGGAAGCTGCTGCCTTGCCAGAGGATTTCGCTTTTGCTTTGGCAAAGAAATCGAGCAGGTCTCTTCTGGCACGTCTTTTTGGCGGAGGAGAATTGGCCTGAAGGACCGAAGTCGAGGATTCATCATTCGTCTTCGTGGGTAGCACATGATTTGGGGTGTTGGCGTTAAACGAGCTTTCCAAACTGCCAATTGATGTTTCGATTTCTGGCTCTTTCTCAATTGGTTTCGGGGCAAGAGCTGCAGCTCCGACGTGCCTTTTGAGCTGAGCGATTTGCGACTGGGTAGAGAAACTAAACGAAGTTGGAAATCGAAAATCAGCCCAGGGTGCAACTAGAATTTCGGAGTAGAAACCCCGCTCCTTGGAACGAAAATCACAAAAACGAGCTACCTACCTGGTTGAAGCTGCGCCCACTTCTAAAGAAAAAAGGCAATTGACTAAAGCAAGACCATAAATAGAATTCTTCATGATAATTATTGATTTGAATGTGATCGAGTGTTTGTAGAAGGTAATCAGAGTGAAATGTAATTAGGAGACTAGGTGATTATTGAGAGATTATTTAAAAAATAAATTAGGATTGTAATGATTATGCGCTGAGGGATTACTGATACTGATATTGATTGCGCCTAGTGCAAGAATCTGTCGGTCACCAGTACCGTTACTAAAGATTAACTTGGAGGCAAATAACTTTGGATGTTCGCTTGAATCCGAAGTGGGGGGGGGGGAAGTCTTTGAGAATGTTTGCTTGAATTCGAATCGGAGGAATCAAATGAAGGAACACCGGCCGAACTTTTGTGCAAAACCCGAAGATTTCCTTGCTGAGTGACTATGATGTGTGGATTCCATGATAACGGGCGAGGTAACGAAGGCTGCGTTGGTTGAAGCCCAGATCCACAGCGCGGGACAAATCTCCACCCGCCTAGCCTTTGACCAAGTACTTGAGCGAGAATAACTGAGCCAGCGCTAGCATTGGATGCGGTGGTCGTTTGCCTGGCATCGCGAACCATGCATTGGTTTGGTGAAATCCGCTTGGAAGATTGGAGTCAAGTAGACGGTGACCATTAACACGCGGCGCCGGCCAACCACTTGACTTGCCCGCCCGGCCGGAAGCATTAGCCATGCCTCTACACAAGACAGTAGCCTGTTCCGGGCCGCAATTTCGAATTCTGTTCAGGCTCCAACTTTCGCGTTTCCCAGTCAGTCCATCGGTAGTAGAGGCAACACTTATTCGTATGCAGCTTTCGCAAGCAGCGCTGGAGAAGCCATATTCCCCACTCGCCAGTCGAGGGAGAATTGGTATCACTGTCAAGCTGGAACTTTGGGCTCGCCTTGAGTCTTCTTTGATTTCTGTTCAAAATGAATTGTGAATGCTTCCAGTTTTCTTGTTTCGTGGACACATCAGCATGTAGCTCATTTATCTTACATTTGCTAGAGGAACAAACCACCAAAACCCCTCAAGGCAAGATATTGGGGGAGCCAACCCATTTGACTGAAAGATCACATTCATTCTTTGGCGATTCTGATTTAGGTAAGCAGTAAGTAAGGCCGAAGAGTTCTAGATTTCTGGGATTCGTAAATGGATTCTGGATGGCAATTGAAAAAGGGTTCAGCCAAGTCCCGTTCGATCACATCTTTGGATAGCCACAAAGGTGTAAGCAGCATGAAATGCTAACCATCCGCCATAAAACTCAAGAGCTATCACTCGCCCAAGCACACCGTATCTCGAGACAACCTCGACTATTCCGAGCAACCGGCGTGAAAATCCCGATATGTTGAGTTCTTAAGTGGATATGTACTAGATATTTTTTTATCTACAATTATAACCGGGCTTGCATATCTGGATTGCAAGGCCCAAATCTGAACTCAAGTTCCTCTTTGTAAATCCTGCACCCCTATGTTACCACCAGGATTGCAAATCTTTTAGCGAGTCGGTCATTCCTTTTGCGTCTTTCAAGCCTGGATCAAGCCCATCTTTCCGCCGCCCGAATCAGTGATCTGAAGCTGTCTTTAGTCCTCTGCATGGGATTTCTGAATTCCAGCTGGTAAAAAACATCGAGTTGAAAGTACCATTCCCAGTGCTGCTAACAGTCAAAAGCCCTGATCAGACTTGTCAAGCTCCTCGTTTCCTAAGCTACATCGTGCATATGTGTATCACATGTCACGCTTTCACCACCAGCAGTCGCCCGCGCGAGACTGTTAGTCAGCGCCATGTCACAGATATCTGGCTAGTGAACCGCCGTCCTCTGGCTTACCTAAGCTCGAGCTTCTCGATCCTTGACTTTTGCAGACAACCCTCAACAAGGAGATGACCATCCTCAAAACCCACCAGCAACAACAACAAAACCACAAACAACAGCTTGCTGAACCAGAAAGAAACCTCAAACATCTTCTGTCAGTCTGATTCTCTCTTAATCTCTCCATCTTCCACCCCAAGTCTATCTCAAGCTGATCAGGCTTCTCTGCATTCACTTAGCCAACAAACCACACCATCCTAGCTTTTCTACCTAAGCATATCGGATTACCGGAATTGATTTGATGCCTTACAAGTTACGGATAGCTTGATATCCTATAAAACTACCCGGAACCGTCTTTCATCCATGGCTGCATCCACCACAATCTCGCAGCCCCCACAGGGAAACAGTAGTACTAGTAGCAATCCAACTCGCCCAGTCACCGCGCTTCCTCTGCAAACCTCGGCTAATGCCAGCAATTCCACTCCAGCTACCCCTAATACTACTAGCACCGTCACATCCTCACTTGCTGCCCTATCATCCCAGCCTCAAAACTTGGCCAGTTCTTCAAACTCAACCTCCCAGAATAAATATCGCCCTCTGAACGTCAGAGATGCCCTCAGTTACCTGGATCAAGTTAAAGTGCAGTTTCAAGACTTCCCAGGAGTGTACAACAAATTTCTAGATATCATGAAAGACTTTAAAACCCAGATGTGAGCTCTGTTTTGTTTGTTTTTTGGCTTCTTATCTATGAACCTCTCATTCTCCTTTCATCTTTCAAGACCAGCTCTGGGTTCTAACAGTCTTGTATCTCCTCAGGATTGATACTCCTGGCGTTATAGATGGTGTATCATCTCTTTTCAGAGGACATCCGTCTCTGATCCAAGGCTTCAACACTTTTCTGCCGCCAGGGTATAGGATTGACGTGTCTCAGGGTGAAGGTCCCAATCAAACTGGAAATTCATCCGCGTATAGTATTATCACTGTCACCCATCCTATGGGGATCCAGACTCAAAAGAGGGTCCCCTTACAGACAGGAGGCGAAGAGATCGGCTCTCATGTCGTTCCTGAGTCGGCAGCCCCTTTGCCCCCAGCATCAACAAGTGAACAACCAACGCGCGAAAATCTGAATGCGGTCAACTCCGCCAATCCCTCGAACCATTTTGCCCCTCAGAAATCCCTCAATGAACCACCGTTACCACCGGTCGTCGCCTTGAAACCTAAACCAATCACGCTTGACGTCATCGCCAATCTAAATCGAAATCCCAGTCCAGTTCCATCAAGCAATCTAAGCACGGATCAATCCAAGCCTCCAATCAAGCCTCTCGAGTTTAATCATGCTATCACCTACGTCAACAAGATCAAAAACAGATACGCGAGTGATCCTAAAACTTATCAGACGTTTCTTGACATTCTTCAAACTTATCAAAGAGATGCTCGACCAATACAAGAGGTAGGCCTGCCGCCAGCGCAGATATATCTTATCCTTCGACCAGATGTATAATCATCGTGACTAACATATTCTTAACTGTAGGTATATGAGCAAGTAAACCAACTTTTCAGTGGGGCGCCCGACCTTTTGACTGAATTTATGCAATTCTTGCCTGATCCTTCTGGCAATGCGGGCCAGCTTCCGGCTACAGATTCCGCCGGAAACCTCCTCCTGAATTCCGGGGCGTCTTACATTGATGGCTCTCATCCCGTAGCCACCACCTCTGCCCAAAACATGTCTTCAACTTCTAAACGTAATCACAAGGATACTCCGAACAATTTTCCTTCAGATAGCAAATATCCAATGTCTTCTCGCGCAGGCCCACCCATTATGAACGTATGTTGATTTTATTTTTACTGTTCCAATTGCTTGTGTGTTTACAAATTAATCTGGAACTTTTACTTCCTTGAATAGCACGAAGATCAGAGTTATACCCATTCACAACACTCTGGCAAGAAGAGAAGACATCCAGGCACAGGCGCTCCGAACAATTACTTCGCACCCTCGAATGAGCATCTTGCGCCTGGGGGTTCACGGACTCACAATTCACTTCAAGCATTCGGCGCCAATCAACTTGGTGAAACAAATGGCGAATTTAATCGTGCGGGCAATTTCAATCAAACTAGTCCAAGTCGTGGGGTGAAGCGGAAACACCGTACAGTTAACAAATCCTCCGATCCAGCCACTTCCGGAACCCCAGTTTCCGGTCTTCCTCCACCTGGATTTGCCCCTCATGGCTCTGCAACTATTGGAGAAGCATACAGTGCGGCCAATACCACGAACCAGCTTCTTGACAGAGCGAAACGAAAGTCGCGCAGCAACTCACGAAATGCCAATCCATCAGATCTTGACCACAAACATGGCTCAGCTATTCATCAGGGCGTACCTAGACAAAGCACAGCCAAGGAGGAATTGCTCTTTTTTTACCATCTCAAGACATACTTTGAAAATCAAACGACGTACATCGAGTTTCTAAAAATAATCAACTTATTCACCCAAGATTTAATCGACCTCGAGACCCTCGTACTTCGAATTGAACCCTTTCTGATCAATTGTCCCGAATTGTTCTCGAGATTTAAAGATATCGTCGGTTGGAAAGACGACCTGATCATAGGCAAAACTCACGGCCCGGCAAATGGACATCTTTCGAAGAAAAAAACACGTCATTATCAAGATCAAACCGCTCAACCGACTCTTTCTGAGCCCGAAACTATACCGGAATGTGGTCCAAGTTATCGAATTCTTCCTGATTCTCAACTAGCATCAAATTGTTCTGGCAGAGATGCATTGTGTTGGGATGTATTGAACGACAAGCTGATATGCGGCGCACCTGCTACAAATGAAGATGAGCAGATTTTCCTGCCGCGACAAACAAATGCTTTTGAGAGGGCACTTTATCAGGCTGAAGACGAACGGCATGAATATGATTACCACATCGAAGCCAACGTGCGAACTATTGCTCTACTAGAACCGATTAATCTCCGAATCCAGCAAATGGACCCAGAGACACGTGCCGAATATCGACTGAAACCGGGGCTTGGAGGGCAAAGCAAAAGTGTCTACCAGCGAATTATCAAAAAGATTTACGGTAAACAGCAAGGTCAAGAAGTCATTCAGGCTCTCCATGAGAATCCCACATTGGCAGTTCCGATCGTCTTGGCTCGGTTAAAGCAGAAAGATGAAGAATGGAAAAAGGCGTTGAGGGATTGGAATAGGGTATGGCGGGAGGTAGATGGCAAAAATTACTGGAAGGCGTTAGATCATCAGGGGATTAGTTTCAAAGCAGTTGACAAGAAGATGATTGGAAATAGGAACTTGGTCAGTGAGATTGAACTGATCAAACGCGAACAGCAGCAGAAACAGAAGTTACTATTGAACCCATCAATGATTCGGTTCCTGCCGAAACATCAACTGGAGTTACAGCTGCAAAATGTGGAAGTGTTCTATGATGTTTTAAAAATACTCATACATTTCTTAGATCATGTATCTAATTCGACTGGGCTAGACGATACCGACAAGGATCGGATTGAAGCACAACTGAAGTTGATCGTCACATCATTTTTCAACATTCCGGAGGATGAATTCGATAAACATCTCACCCCTCTGCCACCCGAGAGGAAAGGAGCGGAAAACGACGCCAGCAACCCGACCAAGAATTTCGACACGGATGGAAATGAGACGGCCTACTCCGAAGGCGATACGAGTGACGTTGCCGGAAGCGCTCAAAACAACCAGGGTGATGATGAACGACCCGAAGGAACAGTTGGGAGACCGAGCCGGGGGCTTTCTGCTCGAAAACGAGGACCGCCGGCGAAGGATGGAACGAGTAACGCGACTGGAAACACAGATCTAAGAAAGAGGGCGATGAAGAATGCAAGCAGTGGTGGAGTAATCTGTAACGACCGAGCATCAGCCAGACGGATCGAATCAAACAAAAAATCTCTCGGTTTGCGAACTTCACGTGCCCCAAGTCCAACAGATGAAGTTGCGGCTTCACGCTCTGATGTGAACAATAGGGGTAGACCCTCCGAATCCTATCCTGGCGACCCAGCAGGCATCATCAGAACTTCATCCATACGAGACCAACCGTACCCACAAGCAGATGACGCGAATGGCAGTTCGAAGATGAGAAGCAACGCTGCAGATCCATCATCTGCAGTGTGTCAAGATGCGAATAGCTTGGGTGAACAGTCACGATCCTCTGCGAGCCGGGCAACACGATTGAATGAAGTGCGTGACACAGAAGATTCGAACAAGAACCCAAGACCTCAAGAACTTCGACTCAGCTTCTTTGCGAATAACGGTTACTATTGCTTCTTCAGGCTCATCCACATCCTTTATACCAGATTTGAGACCTTGAAGCTCGCCAGTCTTAACGCCGACCTGGCTTCACAACACCTCTCACCTACAAACACCGATCACGTTGCTTCTAGATCGTTTGATCACATTGCTCCATCCGCTCCAGCCCGCCGACACTTTAGCTCCTACAAACAAATGCTAGCTTCGATTGAGAACTTCAACTCAGGTGTGATCGACCAGAGTGCATTTGAAGAGGAATGTAGAACCTTATTTGGTATCAAAGGTTACCTCCTTGTCACAGTAGATAAGGTTTGCCAAGCATTGGTAAAAGTGGTCAGTCCTTCGACCTCTCTTTTCTCATTCCCTTTGCAAATTGTGCCCGTCCTCCCTTTTTGCTCAAATGTCGCTTTCTTCCTACTTCGACCGACGAAAAAAAAGCTTTCCAATCTAAGTCATCATCCTGGATCAAAGAAAATCTTAGAATTATTTCAGAATCAAAAAAAGATGTATGATTCGGACCGAGTGAATCTCACCGATTGTCAAAAGTTGAGCTATCGACGCTCAGTTGAATCGTTGACGGGGAACGGACATGAATCAAAAGTTTACAGAATAGAATGGGTTCGTCTTGCCGATGTGTTCGACACACTTCATCTTCTCATTACCCAACCTGCTGAGTGTTTGCCTGGATTCTTGGATGCATGAAGGTTTGACATCAATTCTTTTTTCTTCTTGTAGATCACTTCATCTAGGGCGATTCGAATACAGTTGATCGGAGGTGATGAGATTAGTCAAGAGGATTTCGATGCGATGGAGAAGGCTTGGTCAGATTACATCGCTAGCTTTCAAGACATGTCGGTCGATAGAACCCTTGGGCTAGAAAATTTCAAATTAAAGCCGCCGTTTTTGAACAGGTACACCGCCGCGCTGTCTTGTTTATTTGTTCCTCGTCATCTTTGCTCAAACACAGATGATCCTTCTAATCTTTTGACCTTGCCTTCTTATGTTGCAGAAATATCAAACTGGTGAAGAAATCGACCCAGGATAAACTAGTGACAACTAAAGAAGAGAACGATTTCAAAGAGGGAAACTTTATCGCCGAGACTGGCCTGGCGATCCGGATCTGTATGAGGTCTTACAAGATGTTCTTTCACCCGAACACCACTGAATTCTTAATGAGAAAAAAGAAGAAGCAAATCTCCAATAAGTCGACAACTAGCGGTTAGCTCTGGTTCGTATTATTACTGACTGAATCAGAAATGGAAGTTGTATAGGATTGATAGGTCCATCCATGTTTACTACCCTTTGGGACACTCATTTTGTTGTATGTCTATAGTCCAGTACACAATCATGTGAAATATTTATTCAAGTCTTTATTTATTTATTTATCTACATTCAATCATTTACATAAATAATCCGTTTCATCTCGCTTCGATATTCTCAAAATAGATTGATGTAAACGTAAGAGTTGTTTCTTTTTTTTCACTTACTTCTTGAATTGTTATATTGTGGTATTCTTTTTTTTTGCTCACCATTATTTTCAACTCAATCTATCCTTTTTCCTTCTGGGTCTTTTCCTCGAGTCTTATTATTTTCTTATCGTGTGTTATGTTAGAAAAATTGAATAAAATTTGTTGGTTTGTTGGCTGTCTGGAGTATTTTGTAGAAAGGGACAACCCCACAATCACAAAGCCTTACGCAGCCGCTACACGCGGTCAGTCTGACCATTGCTCTTGATGAAAGCTTTTTCGTTCACTATGCTTAACTATCTTTCAAATCCACGCCATTGGGTTGAGCGGCCAGCTATTGTATGGATGAAGGGATGGGATTCCTTGCTTCAAGCTTTTGAACATATCACTCTAAGAAAAAAAGGGTGTGTTATCTTTGTTGTGCTTCCTATTTTTTTTTTTTACAAAGAATTGAATCCGGCCATGGTCTCACCAAAAAAAGTTTAGAAAACATTCAGGGAGCACTCAGTCAGTCTGCATCATCGGGCGTGAGCTAACGCAGACTTTTTGGGAGTATTTTGGATAGCCAAGTTTAACTTGGCGCGTTTTTTGTTTCAGAGGGCCGATGGCGCCAAGCGCCCCGGTAGCGCGAGTACATACCCTGTCACTTGGGATGGATGCTCCGCACCCTCGGGAGTATGTATCAGGAGAATTTGTTAAGCTAGAAGAGGTATCTCAGCCAAAGCTCTCAATAGCTCTCGTGAGATTTTGGGTGCACATTCTCTCTTCGTGCTCGTTGTGGAGTTGGGGAGTGATTTCATAGTATGGTGAGGCACTCCTCGCCAGTTGAAACTGGGAAACAGCTGGGCTACATACATTTGTGACAGAGATGGCCTAGTTCAGACAAGCAACCAGATGGGACGAACACTTCGAGAGGAGATCAACTATGGTAGTGATCAGGCTCCAGGCCATCGACGCGGCAACGTGAGGAAATGCAACATGGCAGCTCGGGGGTAGTGATGACCTGGGTAGATGGATAGAGTGAACGGATTAGCCGTACCGGAGGGATGAAGCTACCGCCTAGCGTAAGGCTTCCAACAACCAGGCATCGACTATCAGCCATGCGAGATGAAATTCGAAGGAACCTTATAATACCGGATCCTTCCTAACCTCAGGGCGTTGCTCCCCAGGAACCCGGAACCCAATCAAACCAACGAAAACGCCCATCACGATGATTTCGATTTATGTTTCGGCTTTTGTCATTTGTCTTTTTCAATTAGGAGTTAGCGCCGGCCCGCCTACCCCGTCAGAAAACGTATTATCAATATCAGTCACACCGATTTACGCTAATAGCAGCGCTCTCCTGCCTCAGAGCACGCTTGGTCCCGCCGATGGGATTTTCAGAAGACAAACTACCACGCCTAGACTGCTCACTCAGAACATGAACAATCCCTCGACCGTTGTGAGCGCGTTGAACAACACAAACAATCGGCCAGCTAACAGCACCGGGGCACGTGCTAATGACAATAACAGGAATCCCAAGACATTCACGGAAACTGTCAGAATCAGTGGTGGTGTTAGTTTCAACAACTTCCTAGCTCCATCAAGTTGACCAGATGCTGATTCTTTCTTGCTTTCTTTCCAAAAAAAAAAAAACAGCTTGTTCGAACACAAGCAAGCTGGATCGATGGACTGAAAATTGATGCGATTTCTGCCACACCTCATACTCTGTCGATAAAGAAAAAGACGAACCCAGCTGCTTCGGCGAAGTTTGTCACTTCTGCGGATCCCTCCAGGAATATTCTAGGGGGCGAATGGAGAGAGTTGACCAGTTTTTCATACGACGTGTCTTTTGAGGGCGAATATCCAGATGACTTGTCATTTAAGATCTCGGCGCCTTACGATAAACTACAAGCACCAATAACCGTCGGCTTGGATGATGAAGTTTACCTTGGCCTTTATGATCCGAATCGCAGTGGTTGGGTAGTGGATACTGAAAGAATGGAAAATCGTCGGTAAGGGTCTATTCTTTTCTGTCATTGAGTTCCATGTGGATGTTTCTTGTCTGATGCAATAGTTGAATTCACATTGATTTTCTGCCTGGGTTTTTCTTATTTATTTCAGTAAGGATAAGCGAGTGGATTTGATCGGAATTCCTGCCCCCACTGGAGAATACCGGCTGCTCGCACGTTCGAACCGAGACCCATTGGGATCAATGGCTTTGTCTTTCGGAACCGGGACCGATGGCCAGTTCAACGTCTTGGCACCCAGCGGTGGCTTATCAAGTACCCCGCCTTTACAAGTGGCCACATGGCAAGACGGCAGCAAGATAATCATTCGAAGTTTACAGGCGATGCAAATCAAAATGGAAACTAGCAATACCACAACAAGTGCAATACCGCCAGGCTATGAGGCTGCTAGTGAGTTTAATCCCGTTCTATCCAGCAAATGATAAATATTTGACTGATCCGTCCCGTCCTTCCAGCCCGCTATGGATTCACTATAACCACCAATACTCCTGCAGCTCAAGTGATAATGAACTTGCAACTTCCATGTAAGATTAAACTCCTCTCGTGATTGTAGAAGAAGACCTCTAATGTAAATTATTTGAATATTTTGAACCTACAGATGTTCCCACTCAGTTGGAAGCAAGAGGCCTCTTCCCACAGGATCTTGTAACTGCTGGCAGACCACTGAGAGCCAATCAACAATATCAAATTCTATCGGCTACCACTATCAGTGGGAATGGTGCGCTGATGAATGTTCCAATGAATATTGTTGAAGGGGAGTATCTGTTACTTGCAAGGTCCAACTAGTCCAAAAGGTGATGAAATGGTTTTGTGGATTCTGTGATTGTCCACACCAATAGACATCATAATATATAATAATAGTTGTATTTGGGAATACTGGATATGACCGCAAAATAATGTATTAATCAGTAAAGTTTCAAATTAATTAATGTTGTTCAAATAATTTCTAAAAAGTTCAAAAAATAAAAACATTTCAATATTTTGACTATTGGGAAAGTCACAGACAAGTGACATGTCTTCAAGCTCATATGTATCATACTGTGAAAAGGAAGATGAATGTCATAAGGAAAAAATAAGGAATGTACATACAATGTATCTCACAGGATTGATATTCCTCTCAACTTGATTTTGGGCAGAAGCATTGTCATCAATAGTGGACTGGATTTTAAAATTGTCAAGAAGGAAAGTATATTTGTGAAGAAGCTGCACCAATAACAAGATTAAAAATTTCTTCAGTTTTTTGCTACTTATCAAGATAGACACTTTTCTATAACTCCCCACACGCACTACTAATGTCCATATCCTGAGTGAAGGATTGCTTGCTAGGTAAGAAAATTGTTTACTGTCAGAAAGAGCTGATTGAAAATGTGAAACCTGAAATGAATCCACAGCAGATGAAGTCTGATTTTTTTTTGATTGATAGAACCCATTTCAAATACAAATGAAGTGCAAGATGTAGGTGTTAGGCAACCACAGCAAATGATTTTGTGAAATCTCTGTTTTTACTATCTTGCCCAGCACTGGCCTATTTGAAAATTTGGGTGATCATGATGGGATTGTTTTTTGAATTACTAGTATTTGCCCGCAATTTTGCAGAGTTTGTGACCTTGTTTTTGACCTGAATTTTGGGAGGTTTTATGTACTCAATGACCTTTTACCCCTTTTGGAGGTATTGCTTGAATCAGGCACCCATCTTGGTCTAGCATTAGTGTCAACAAATGTGAATTGGAGGTCAACACCAGCATTAGATTTCGTTTCACTTTGCTTGGCTCTCTGAGTGTAATACTGTGTATTCTTCTGTTTATATGTAGATTCTTATTTTGCAAAGGCTTTCCTTGGCTAGCCTAATTAGGAGGTGTGATATATAGAATTAATTTATTTTGGCTGCATGTGGGTTATTTATAATCAAGTTGACTCTCTAACAAAAGATTTGTGGTGCTTAGATTCAGGTTGTTGTCTAATCAAAAGACAATACATCTTCAAAGCATCAAGTTCAACTTTCCCACAAGCTTTACCTCAACCTCACTAAATTTGTCAAAAACTTGACAAAATTGAATATTGAAAGAAGCAATCAATCAACAATCCAAGTGACCATCCTAAAAAACAATCAAGTTGTGAATGTAATGAAATTAAGATTGTCAATTTTGAAAATGTTTTGAAGGAATAATATATTGGTTCAGACTTTCATGAATAGTTTAAGCAAAAAAGAACAAATAATAAGGTGAGTTACACATAATCATCATACTTATGTACATACCAGTAATCATAGAATAAAATTAAAATTATTGATAAAATTTATGAATTAATGAAAAGAAAAAAATGTTGTCAAGCAGAAGTTGTGAATATGTATCACAAGCCAAAACTATATTCCACAGATGGGAGTTGGTGCAGGTGCGGCGACACCACCCCAGGGGTCGAGATATTGGCAACCGGGTTGAGCAATCCACCATTTGGTATTATCCTTAGGATTGCTCCAGCCTGTTCCAGCAGATATATGATTGGCGCCAGTGGCGACGGGTGCTGGAACAAGGGTGACAGGAGTACCGGCAGCGACGTATCTGGGCAAAGCCGCCGTGGGGTAGTTGGCCCCTCCGGGACCACCCGAGATCGCGTCTGGAGGGAATTGTCCATATTTTTGAACCTCGCTCGCTAGGATTTGTCCGGCACCTGCTCCGCCCACTTGCCATGAATCCAAGTCGCCTTCAATGATCCTTGGGGCATATGTTCCACCTTGGTCGGCCACAACAGCTGCACAGCGACCGTTGCTGACACGTGCATCAGGTCTAGTGGTTAAATTGTTCAAGAGTAAGCTTTTTTGACTGAGTGCAGAATCTCCCCAAAATGGTCCAGAACCACACAAACCTGATGTAACCATTTTGCAACCCGTTTTGATAATTCCACATTGGGTTGGGTACATTGGCTTGATTGGTTGACTTTCCAATCTTCCAGGTCCAGAAGAACGAATTCCTCATCACATCTTGTTGCGTCTGCGCCAGGTCAGCAAAGGCATTTTTCATCCCGGGAGTCCACAGGCGGTCATCGAGCCATTGTCTAACAAGAGAGAAACAAGAAACGGTGAGATGGTCAAATTACATGGCTGTTAATTGGAAATTGAATGTTATTCGGCCTACTCGCAGCTCCCCAAACGTTTATATTGGCCATCTGGCAGAGCAGCAGTCGGATATGTTCCCTCATACCGAGTTCCGGAGCCAACGTTGTTCACATATCTGCAAGTTCAGGCGGGTCAGAACTACCCAAAATCTAATTGCCGCTGTGGTACTATATCACTAATATGCGATAGCTTACAGTCCACAATCGTTGATCGCTAGACTGTGAAGAAAATAGTTTAAAATGAACCAAGGAGCCCGCAGGTTGATAAGTTTCCAAATCTGATGTAATGTTTTGATGAAACGCATGTATCATCAAGAGGAATCTTACGAAAATTCTCCAGTGATGCTCAATCCGAATCCCGCCATTGTTGCATTTGCCAGACTGGCCCATTGTTGACATGGTTTAGCGGAGTTGACGGGCACACTGTCGGCATTCTGGACGCCAAAACAAAAATAAGAATGCGTGTCGAGGCCGAGACGATCGGCGCCGTGTAAGAAGCCCGTCCATCCAGGACCGCCTGAGAAGCCATCATGGATCACCATGAATGGACCGTTGCCTTCGCCAGTACCTCCAATCGTACGCAACATTTGATAGACTTGGTAGTACCTATATAATTCAAGTACAACGAAGTCAATCCCTCTGGAAGAGCATGATCTTTTTAGAAATTTACATACCATGTTCTCATCGCATTTGCACCAATAATTCCAGTTTGCGCCTCATTCAAAACCGAAAACATTGGCACGACGTTTCCATATTGTGACTGGCTGATAAACTGGGTGAGGGTCCGAATGTAGTTGAACGTTCTTTGAGCATTAGCAAGCCCCATGGCTCCGTGTAAGAAGCCGATGGTGCCAAATTTTCCAGAATGATTCCATCCGTTCTGTGAGCCTGGAACCGCGTGTAAATCGAGGTTGATTCTGAGACCATACTTGCGAGCCCACGTGATAGCTTTGAGGAAGTACTTGAATGAGACTCCTGCGACGAAAGGCTCATTTCCCCACGTCTCAATCATCCACCATCCTACCGGCAATCTTACCCAATTCAAGCCAGCCGAAGCTATCTCAGCAAAATCTTGCTCGGTGATGAAGGTCTTATAATGATTTTCAATTGTCGATGCAGCTTTCGAACCGAGTGCTTGACAGAGTGTCCATTCATCAATCGCTGGGTTTGCTGAGTTGGCGTAAGGTTCGAAGAGAGATGGGACGATAAACGGCTCCAACACTAACCAACCGCCGAGGTTGACACCGAGAATTCGATTGGCGGAGTAGTCCCACTTTTGTTCCAGAGTAGGCTGATCTCCTTGCGCTTTCGCTGTATCATTGAAGGGAACAGCAACCCAAGTCCCTCCGAGTGTGTTATTGTATAGAAAGCTATGTCCATCCTCAGTCTTGAAAACAAAGATTTTGTTTTGTCAATACAAACAGTTTTTTTTTTTTTTCGTGCATGCTGATCGGGGGATATATGGACAACGCGCTTTTGTGACTGACTTTAATAGTGTCACCACCTACTCCCCATAATTTACTACTCTTTCCTGTCGATCCGCCAGATTTAGCTACAGCAGCACTTTGCATGCCATTCGCGAGACCATTTTTGTCAGACCGGGTACCTAAAACGCTTCCGAGAATGACTGCGAGGATGACGGCTATGCCGACTGCTATGGCGATGCAGCCGATCAACCGGTTCCGACGTTTCTTGGGTAAGCCTTCATCGGCGTCTGTCGAATCAGATGGGCCATTGGTATCGTACTCCTTGGAGGAGCTGTTGGCTGGAGGGGCACTTCCGGATTGCGCGGCAATCGGCACATCCTCAAGGTTGTTTGAATCCCCCTTGGGCATGAATCTACCAAGACACAAGCCTGTCAAATTGTTTTTTTTTCTTCAAGAGAGCTACAGTGACCGATTTATGTACTCACGGTGCGGAAACATCAACCTCATACGAATCATCGATAGCGCTGCTGTTCCTATGAAGTGAACTGGAAGTGGTGTAGGTACTGTGTCCACTGATGGGCCTGTAATCTCTTAGTGCCGCACCCAGGAATCGTGGTTGGGGTGGTGGATCTGAATTGTCGAAAATGACTGATTTGATAGATGGCTGTCAGACTGGTAAGAAACAGTGAATTTGCGCGTCCTTTCCTGAATCGACTCACCATCGTAAGGGTCGCGTGATGGTGATTCTCCCGGAGTAGTCAATGGGATGTTTTCTGCCATGATGAACACAGAACTATCGGATCTCGAGTCCAGAGGTAACGCGTTTGGTTTGTTTTAAGATGCTTGATGTTTGGTTTTTGGGGAAAAGGTGTGGATTGGGCTGCAGTCAACCTAGAAAGTATCCATCAGTTTCGATCTCTACCACGTAGGCTTTAGATGTTCCAATCTATTTATGCCAATTCCCCGTCTCCAACCCCTTTTTTTTCTTTTTAGCTCAGTCTCAGTCTGGGAGCTTTTGCACCAAGCCTACCTGATTGGATTATGGCAGCAGCATTTCTGGTCCGAGCGTAATGGATGGGGAGGTCCAAGCTCAAATGGCAATTTTCATTGAAGCAGCCGATCTATCCTGGACAAGACGCGACGGGCAAATCTGGGGACAGTATACAGACTTCTTCTCCAGCTTTAAGCTTTCCAATACACATTTAGTGTGGTTAAGAATGTGTTTGGAAAATCAAGTGTTGGATTTGACCCTAGCTGTCTGACCGCATTGTTCCCAGCTTTAATGCCAAGGGAACGGACCGGTGAGCTCCGGTGAGCTCAATGGTGGAAAACTGATGGGTACAGATTTCTGCACCTGACATTTTAATTCCCGAGTGGACCGGTTCTCCTTGATGATTCTGCAAGGACGGATCGGTGATTCTTGATCTCTGGCAGGCGAGCTCCAGGTACGACACATATTGTTCGTAGGGACTCGTTATAAATTTCGAGTTTTATTCAACAGTACACTTTCCATGACTCCCAATGGAAGCAGATTGGTGCAAGTCACAATTTAGCTGAATTCGAAAACTGCCATAGGACACATAGCCGGTCACAGTCTTGTTGTCGGAAAATTCTGATCGAGCTCCAGCGGTTTTGCTCGGAGCTTGGGAGGCTCTTCCTTGAGCGAAAAGTCGTTGTCACTTAGATCAACTCCATCCGTTCGCGCTGGGGAAATAGCGCTAAGGCTTGGCCTGGCAGGTGACAAGAGAACCTTCGCAGTTATCTTTCTGGGGGTATGGTAGCTCAGAGCAATGCTGGCCTACCAGTGACGGGAATAGATCCTAAACCGAGAAGAATGGTAAATTCATGTTGACTATGAAGTCATGTCGATCCGGTCCGGTCCGACTGGCTGTACTCAGTCGGATTTCTACAGCGGCTGCAATATTTTGGGCCATGATCAGTACCAGGTGCTACCAAGTAGGAGAGAAGGCTGCAAAGGCGAAGAGAAATTACTCGAGGAAGCATGGTCAACAGTCGATATCCCCTCGGTCTCCTGAGCATCTTCACCCTCATCTCTTCCCTCTGGTCGTCGTCCCCAAGCTCAGAGGCTACCTGGCATCTACCCTTACTAGGTCTTCCGGTCGCTCAGTCTACCCGTAATCCATCTCAACTAAGATTCTTCCGACATCCCAATCCGAAGGTCAGACTAACCCCTCGACTACCCTCACTGGCAATCACCGTCACCCAAAAAAACATCCTTGGAGCAATTAACCCTAAGAACGGAACCATAGGTCAGTCTCCCAAACGGTGGACAAGAAAGTATAAAGAAAAATGTGTCTGCTCGGTTGCTAAGATTGGTGACCTCATTCTTTAGTATGGCGCCTGCTTCTTCCCAAAAACGAACCTATTATTCATTATGCTGTTGATCTAAACAATCGACGTATGTTCTTCTTTTTCTTTGACCGCTGGAAAATTTCAGATCGTGATTTGTTGCTAATTCAACTTCTTTTTTCCTAGGTGTGGCGGTAATTTCTGGCGAAAATGCGATAGCCGTCCGACTCTTGTCTCTTTCCGATGGCCGTCTCCTGTGGTCGAAATCTCTACGTGAAGGTGGTCTAAAGCAGAAAGATGGGCTAGTTGGACGTGTCTGCGATTTGGTCTTCACTACCGACCAACATTCCGATCATAATAACTTTCCCGATCTCATCGTCTTGTCCCACCAATCTCACGCATTTAGACTCAGCGGCCACGAAGGTGTGATACGCTGGACGTGGAAGACGGTTGACCCAACATGGTAAACTTGATCTCTGTCTTCGATCCAAAAAAAAAAAGTGAACATGAAAGAAGTGAATATAAGTATGACTTAAATCGCATGTATCAAACGGCATATTTTCCGATTGCGCTTGATAGGAATATCCTGAGAATCTTGGAACAAAAAACGGACGATCAAATCAATTTCTTACTCTCCAAGGACGAATCCGAAAGCACCTATATTACCCAAGTTGAGTCTGTATCGAGTACAACTGGTTCGGCTTACGATCAACGTCCGGGATCTCATCAGACTTGTCGCAAGTCAGGAGAACCGCCCGTTATTGTCACCAGCACTTCAGATTCAACAGCTTCGATAGCCAAGTCTGTGGTCATCTGCATCGATCCCGAGGGTCATATCTCATCAGCTCTAGTCCCAGATCAACCAACCAAGCCTGCACAAATCTCGCAACTTTCAAACCTGAAGCACAAGCATCCTGCCCTGATAGATGTTGGTCTTGCTGAAGAAAGTGTATTCCTGGCCAAACTTTCAGACGGCTCTGCAATCGTTCTTAAAGTCTCATCGGACGGGACATTAAAATCTATGTGGAGTTTCGATCCCACGGTGCGCCCACCCAAGTCTTGTAACTTGATGAGACTTCTTCACCTTTTCTAATGGCTTCTTACTTTTCTCTTCTGGATGCACAGGACTTGCCGACGAAGTATGCTGGCTCTATCGATCGGGATGGTTTACCTTATGTTTCAAAGGTGTCATTTGTACCTACCCTGGGTGTGAGTTGACTGCTTCAATCAAACTAAGTAATATAGATCTGACTTGTCTGGTTAACCTCTTGAAGCTTGCTAGTTTGGAAATCTTGTCGTTGACACCCACAGAACGCACCCCTGAAGGGATGGTTGTTGGAAGTACATTTGGTTATGATTTACAGCAGAATGGGCCCATCACTGGAGTAAGGTTTGTCCTGCTCATGTTTCATTGTCCTAAGCTCACGCGCGGGTTGTCTACGTTTTCCACTCCAGATTTCTGTTGAGGTTTTGCAAATCACCAATTATACGCCCCTATCGCGAGTAATGCTTGTGACTGGATTGGGTGACATTCAACTCTGGCAAGGTGAGACGCTGCAGTGGGAGCGTCATGAGGATCTTTCTTTGCCAGCCTCAATTACCTTGCATCAGTCGAAAGGATTCGGGGGTCCTCTGATGAGCACTGACCCTATAGACATACCTCGTTATGTACTTCAAATGACGAAGGTAGATCGCTCCTCTACCTGACATCATTATCTTAGTCTCTTCATTGACTATGATTCTCTTCTTCATAGGTGCTTTTCTCTGGACTGTTGAACTTTCAATCATCCAAGGCGAATCCATATAACCAATCCCTTGCCAATGCTTATGTTTGGCTCATTGGCTCCGCAACTGGCCGCCTCTTTGCAATCGTCCGGGATTCTAATAACGAAGGGAAGATATTATGGAAGCGAAGCTTGATGTCACCTGGTACTGTCGGCTCAAGGACAACATTGAAGTGGGAGAGGCTATCGTTCGAGGGTGGTCATACTGGCTCGTACCATCCACACGTGATTACCTCTTTACAAATGGTACGTGCCTTCAATCATCCTTTGTTGCATCAAGTTGATCATGTTTCCTCTTCAGGATGGAAGCCAAACGACGTTTACGATCGGATTGATGGATGGTGAAATCTTGAATCAAACCACAATCACGGTGGGCTTTTCATTTGCTCATAATTGCGTTCATAAGCGGACTGTCTCGTACACATGCTCAACGATACGATTTTCCAATTATGCAATCAGGTACCAGACGGGCCTCAAGATTCCTTAGTACCCAAGAATAAGAAATTGTTAGCGATACATGATCGAGGTACGCCAGATGAACACTCCCGCTTGTAGATCACAACCCCCTCAGTGCTGGTAATAATCCGCCTCTTCTTTCAGATATGGGAGGCTCGCCCGCTCGGTTCCTGGGTGATCGGGGTGCTCTGTTCAAATACCTCAACCCCAACCTTGCGGTTTACTTTGACGATGACTTTGGTGGACAGACCATCGAAATCCTTGACCAGAAGACTGGGGCGCTCATCTGGGCATTCGAGTTTTCCGTCAAGGTCGACCCCGCCTCGATCAATGCCGCTCTAACCGAAAACTGGTTGGTCATCACGAGCCGTGAAACTGAGAGCGGGTCTACCCGTATCAATTCAATCGAATGGTTCATGAGCTCTAAAGCTGATGTTCGAGTTGATGGGTAGGTGGTTTACCCTTCAACTGAACCGAACGACCGAAGTTCTAATTGCTTTGAAAACAAAAAATGTCCGTGTCTCTCAGGTCGACAGCTAATATTACTAGCTCTGCTCGATCTTACCTCACTCCATTCGGCATCAAGGGCTTAGGATTCACGAAGAGTAGACTAGGTGTCACCTCTCGAGCCCTACTAGGTACACTTCCCTGAGCAAAATTATCTCAGGCGCGATACAAAACAACTCTAAATAGATTTGTTCAATTGATGATTTTGTGTAGTGATCAGTGATATGGACCAGATCGTTAGCATTTCTCGAAGGTTGTTGGACGTTAGACGGCCCTTCACGAAACCGACAACAGAAGAAATCGAAGAGCTTTTGCTCAAGTACGATCCATTGATCATGATTGATCCTAAGAGTATCATTTCAGGCGATCGACCGGTGAGTCTATGATTTCTATTGCATGACCCAGGAAAAACAAGGACTCATGGGAAGATATGTCTTGGATCCAAAAATCGTAAATAATCCAAGACTAAAGGCTTAGAACAAGTCTACAGTTTTCCAACTGAATTTGAATCGACTTCGGCAGTCATTGGAGTAGGTTTAGATCTCTTCGCAACCTCGACGGCGCCCTCGAGGACATTCGACATGCTCGGATCAGACTTCAATAAAGCCCAGCTGATCCTCACTTCAGCTGGCCTCCTTCTTACTACCCTAATTTTGCGACCCATCGTGAGTTGCCTTGTGTTATCCATCACTGGGCCTTGCCTATTCTGTTGGTTATAGGTTCACTGATCTCTTTTTTTCTTTTCTTTTTACAGGTCCAAAAGAAACAACTGAAACGGCAATGGTACACTTAAAAATTCAAGCACAAAGGCATTTTTTTGCTCATAGACATACGTACACTACAGATGATCTCTCAACCGCTGCTTGATAGCTTGTTCTTTTACATGTCATTTTTCTTATTCAAATCGATTTGCTTGCTTGATTGGTAAATAACAAAACAGGTGTTGTACATTTGCAAGTATCTATGAGTGTATGTGTGTGTATAGATCCAAACAAACACATTCACAAATGAAATATGTAAGGAGAGATGTCTGCTTGATCCTCTTGAGTGTTTCTTGTCCAAATTAGACATTGGTAGATTGATTCAATGGATAATTCAAACAATTGTTGTGAAAACAGTACAGTGACAAATGTTTTTCAGTGCATTTGATGGACAAGACACTCAAGGCTCCATGAGCAAGCACAAAACTTAAAGACAGACAAAAGTCAAGAAAAAAGCTCAGGTTCTCATCCAGAGTCTTCCCAGCAGTCAGCTCTTCATTAACTAGAGATGGCACCAAGTACTGGTTTGCAAGTACTTGCCTACAGGTGCCAGCAACACTGAAACAGAGACAAGACAAGACAGTATCAGGCATTGATTTGTATTGTCAGAATTTGAATACCCAAAAATACTGTATTTGGTCTTTGGAAAGTGATACATGTATTCTGTACTGTCTCAGAGGGATGATCCCACCAAAAATGTCTTTGATACACATGATGTTTGGCCGTATTGAAGAAAAAAAAACAGACAGTTTTTCTTTGCATTTGTAAATCCAAATCTGAGACAGTGGATTTTCTCACCAACCAATGAAATACTGATACCAGGTACACCACAGGTTGATAATTTTCATTCCTGTGCGACAGGCCCACAGCACAGTTGGGATTGGGTTGGCGCGGGTCGGCCATAACCTGCTTTTCACAAATCTGACGGCTGTCATAAAATTGAGGTTGGGCCAACCTTTGGATCACCGTGAATGATCCTGATGTCTTGACATCAGGATCATTTGCCGTGATCCAAAGGTCGGCCCAACACAAACTGAAGCCGATGATGGCTATGTGTCGGGCTTCAGCTCAGTCTCAGTGGGGATGATGTCATGCCCAATTTCGTTGGCATGACTTGGATAGGCTTTTTAAAAAAAACTTTTTTGAAAACAAGTTTTCTGGGCCTATTTCCATGCAAGAAAGGGGCTGCCTATGTTTCAAAATGTAAAAAAAATACATAAAAAACCATTGTCTGCAACAGAAATGCCAAATTTCTGAAGAAGATTTAATGGAATTGTAGTTCATAGAGCTGTTAATGTGCCCAAGGGGAAGACCAATCTCATAGAGCAGTAATTATGTCCCCTTGTTGATGCCTGATCTGCACTGATCATCAGGCATGCCCCGCACCAGCATGGGCATAGGTTGCAGGTTCAAGGCAAGGGAGGAGAACTCTTTTTCTCGAGAACAAGCCTCCCAGTTTCTTTATAACCATGAGTGGCCGCTGACGTCTGCTTCTTGTTAGAAGCCGTCGTGGTCATGCCCACCCACCTATCCCCACGACATGATCCGACGAGAGGCCCACATCACAAGTTGGGCTGACAGCCGCATCCAACACCTCCCGCTCTTAGCCCTGCCATTTTTTTGGGCGGGGTCAGACGAGTGAGGCCAATGAAACGTGTGATGCGGGCTTAACGTCGCTTGCGACCTGTGGTGTATCAGGCTCAAAATAAAGAAAATACAAGACAATACCAATACATGTCTTGTCTGTTTCAGTGTTGGTGCCAGGTGTGGGTGCAAGTGCCATGGTTTTGGGTTGAAAAACAGGCAAGTACTTGTACAGAGTACTTTCCAATGAGTGGGGTTTTCTTCTTTTCTGCTTTATCTATATTTTTCTATTTTTTTGGGTTTTTTTCTTCTGTTTCTTCTGTTTTTTTTCCCCCCTGTTTTTTCTGTTTTTTCTGTTTTTTTCTGTTTTTTCTGTTTTTTTCTGTTTTTTTCTGTTTTTTTCTGTTTTTTCTGTTTTTTTTGTTTTTTCTGTTTTTTTCTGTTTTTTCTGTTTTTTTCTTTTTTTTCTTTTTTTTCTGTTTTTTTCTGTTTTTTCTGTTTTTTTTTGGGGGGGTTTTTTCCTTCTGTTTTTTTTTTTTTTTCTTTTTCTTTGGCAGCTGCTTGGAGTTCCTTTTTTTGTGTTTTAATATTATATATTGGAGACTTCCATTTTCCATTTCTACTTGGGTTTATGGCTGCTGTACTGGTGCATTCACGTAGGCACATTTTTGTCTGGACGCACATCACTTGCGTGATCAGTATCATCTCTAACACACCATATGAAGAGGCACTCCTGGAGTTTGGTATCTGCATCTGATGTTGGGGCTCTAATTCGAGTTGTGTGTCCAATGTGCATGGCACATGTCACACCCAGGAGCATGAATATGGAGACAGAAAGTGTGAAACACTTCATGATGGTTGGGATGAGCTGAGGAAAGGTATGGGTTGCAGTTGCTTGGGATTGAACGTAGGTGTGTGAATATATCTGATGAAAGTTTCACTCAGGAGCTGATTGCTGATAAGGCTATTTTGGGGATGTAATGTTTTGTCATTTAGTTGGTTAAGTACCAAACTGGCCAGGTTTAATGAACCTCAGATCTTCAACTATTCAAGAAACTTGTCCAAATCAAACCATTGAAACAAGGGGGTTGGAAAAACGACTCCCAAAATTTTGTCAACGACTCCCATTTTGGTCGAGGGGTCGTCGGACGGGAGTTGTTCCTCCAAATCAATGGCCAACTTTGGGAGGCGGCCATCAATTTTTTTTAATTTTTATTTTTATGGAGTCGGCACCCCAAACCACCCCTCATGCTTGAGGGGGTTTGGGAGTCGTCGCTCCCATGACCAGAAGGCAACGAGAAGTTATACCTCATCAATTGGAAGGGATTCCTTCCGGTCGATGAGGTATAACAAACTCATTGACCGGAAGGAATCCCTTCCAGTTGATGAGATTGTTACATCTCATTGACCGGAAGGAATCCCTTCTGGTCGATGAGATTGTTACATCTCATTGACCGGAAATCCCTTCCGGTCGATGAGATTGTTATACCTCATTGATTGGAAGGGATTCCTTCCATCAATGAGGATGTTATACCTCATTGACCGGAAGGAATCCCTTCCATTTGATGAGGTATAACTTCTCGTTGACTGGAAGGAAATCCTCCCGGTCATGGGAGCGATGACTCCCAAACCACCTCAAGCATGAGGGGTGGTTTGGGGCGCCAACTCCCTAACAATAAAAATAAAACATATTAAAAAAATTAAAAAAAAATTGATGGCCAACTCCCAAAGTCGGCCATCGATTTGGAGGAATGACTCCCATCCGACGACCCCTCGACCAAAATAGGATTTGTCGGTGTGGAACTACTCAACCAGGGAGATAGAGCTTGGAGGGGATATAGACAACTACACTAGTACTAATGTAAGTTGAAACTACAGGTGCTGATGAGGCTGCCCTCCTGTACAATGCTAATGGGAAGAGTGTAACACTAAGAAAAAGAAGAAGAGAGGTGTGGCTGATTTCTACTTTATCTTAGACTACTATTACTGATGAGCTTGTGTATGTAGTACCTACTGAGGTGAGAGGAGGAGGAGTAATGAGGGGTGATGGGATAATACTGGCAAGGGTGTAACACTGGCAATGAGGAATGACACTGGCAAAAGGGGATAATCTGGCAAATGAGGATTTATAACTGGCAAGGGGGGATGTATAACTGGCAATGATATCTGGTAAGGATATAAGGGTGATACTAGTATTTCTGATTTCTAAGACTATGGTTAGAGGGTACATATGAAAAACTGGCATAAGGGGGAAAATACATGAGAAGGAAGAGAAGAGTATATATGTGTACAACCTGTACATACAACAGCAAAGAACCATGGCAGTGGAAATCCTGGCTATGGGTAATGGAAATCTAAAACAGTAATGAGTGATGAGAAATAATGTAACCAAGAGATAGATGTTCTGTGTATACAAGTGTTAATCAGATATGGAAAGTCAAAGCAGTGTGAAGAGAAATATGTATATGATGTAGTTGATGTATGTAGTTATGGTTATGCTGAATGATGTATGTAGTATGTAGTAATGGTGATGCACCATGATGAAGGAGTGATGCTACATAAATACTGTAACTAGATAAAGTGTAATGTATATGTACTGTATGTATAAAGTAATGTACTGTTCTGTAACTATGAATATACTGAGGAGATGATAACTAGAGAACTATAAGAGATACTGAAAAGATGTAAGAGGTGACTAGGGGTGAAATGATGTGTAGAATCTGAATATGAAATCATACTGGGAAGAATATATGTAGAAATGATGTGAAAAATGAGGATACATGGAAAGGTATGGACATATCACATCGGCAAAATTTTGGGAGTTGTTTTTCTGACCCCCTAAAACAAAGCTGTTGAGATCTGAGCTCAATCCCTCTATAACTCTAGCAGTATTTTTCACAAAGAAGATTTTGACATCATCATCTCAAATTCTTCACATACATAGAGTTCACTTTCTTCCAAACTTGTTTCTTTCTCTCTCATGACTCCAGAAACTCACATCCTTGTTTCACAAGCTCAAGTCTCAAGCACAGACCACATGGATAATAATATTTCCCAAACAGGAACTCCACACCCTCAAAACTCATTCCCCTCCAGACATATTCCATTCTTCTTACCCCTTGTGTTCCACACTAGTAACAATCCCCTTGATCCATGAAACTGTTATCTCCTCCTATTTTCTTCCATGGAATATTCCACCCCTTAGTTGCTTCATACTAGTAACAACGGTGGGCCAGTCACACTAACCGTAGTCTTAGTGTAGCGTAGTGTTAGCTTTTTAAGCTACGCTACACAAAAGTTACCGTTAGTGGGAATTTTTGGCCCACTAACACTACAGGATTTTTGAAAAACAAAAAAACAACTTTAGCGTAGTGTTAGCTACCTTTAAAAAGGCACAACTAACACTACCCAAAATCCTGTTAGTGAAATTTCAGAGGTGTTAGTGGGTGAACCCACTACACTACATGTTAGTGTAACTTTTTGCAAAGTTACACTAACTGTTAGCGTAACTGATTAAAAGTTACACTAACTGTTAGTGTAACTGATTAAAAGTTACACTAACTGTTAGTGTAACTGACTATGTAGTTACATGACCACATGACTAGTGCTAGTCTACCCTGAAGACAGTGCCTGATTGGGGGGCCTACATCCAGATCCCCTCAATTGATCATCATTTTTTTTTTCAGTTGGTACTGGGGGCCACTCAATTTTAGCCCCCTGCCATTTTTAACACTTACTTGTAAGACCA